CATCAGCTGGCCGGTATTGAGGTTATTGATGTCTGGAACCTGAGAAATGTTGACGGGCAATGGGGCATCAACGCTCGAATCCCAACAGGGAAACTGGATGAGGTTCTCCGAAAATCCTCCCCGGTTTTGGAGATTGACACGCCTAGGGTTGCCCTGTGACTACGAGACCTGTTTGGTTGAAGAGGGAAGGCCTCCCCCTTTCTGTTGATCAAGCCTTGGACTTCGCCAAGGAGGTTCCCAACCACTACGGGATCTTTAAGAAACAGGACTGTTTTGCATTACTGGTGTCACAAGCTGATTTTCACAAAACCAAGGAGGCCCTTGGACAAGTCAGCACGCCTCTGTATCTTTCGTTGCAGAGGATGTTGTGGAACTGCTGCAGGCCATGTCTTGGGAAGCAGAAGTGCAGCCTGGAAGTAGACGATTTCGCAACGGAGGAGTGCAGTGTTTGGTTAGGAGTAGTCAGACTCCCCCCTTAACTTCTGCTCCCTTCTTCTTTGGCTATGAGAGAAGAGTCGTGACGGTGGAGCCCACTGTTCGAAGCTGGGCCTGTGAAGAGGTCTTGGTAGGAGTGCCAATCCTAATTCTCTTCTTGGGACCTTCATCAACCAACGCGGCATTCCACGATGTGTGGGACCATCCTTTCTAGCCGCACTGGAGCCATTGCCTTTGCCTTTCTGAAGCTGGCTCTTGAAGGATGGGTAGTTGACAGGGTCGACTTTGGGAGGATCCACTTTGGGGGCTGGCACAAAGGGATCAACAGGCACTATGTCCAGAGGACAAATTATTGAACAGATTGCGGCCATAACGAACCAGCTTAAAGCTCTTCAATTGCTTCTTCAGTCTCCAGAGATGTCCCTTTTCGAGGATGATGGGATCCCTGGTCAGCCTTGACTAGGGATGCATTGTACTGAGATGTTTGGAGGCTCTTCTTCTCAAGAGCTGGTATTTTACAATATGTATCGGGCTATTTCCTTGATTGGTGGAATGAAGGGAGAGGTCTTCCTTGGAACCTGGAATCTCAACAGCCTTTCTGACAAGCTCAATTTGGTTTTGGGTATGCACGCAAAGCCCACCTGTTCGCTAACTCGGCCGATTCCTCAGGATACCAACTCCTGTTTGGCAAATGCCCAGTTTGGAAAAAGAAAGGCTGTGGCAAAGTTGGTCTGCATCATAAGCAGTGCCCTGGGGTCGCTGTTGCCATCATGAAGGAGATTCCGGCCCTGTGGCCCCCTCGCCTTCCAGGATGGAGTACTGGCACGAGCAGGGCCTGTCAACTTCTTCGACGGTACTACTTGGAGGACGCTTTGGAATGTTTATGCCCCTGATGACCCGCAGAAGAACTTCCAGTTCCTCAGCGATCTTGCGGCGGACGCTCAGGAGGTTCAACCTTACTCCATTGCAGGTGACTTCAACAACTCGTTGGAGTGGGGCTCAGGCACTGGACATCCTCTTCGTGGACTTGTATTATAAGTTAATGGACTCGCTGGGTACCGACGCCGTTTCGTTTCAAAGAGCTCAATCAAAGACGAAGATTGATGATATGCTTTGTCACAAGGATGTTCGCATGGAGTTCAGCCCACCGATCCCGCTCTTTCCCTTTGACAATGGACATGCCATCATTTCCTCCAAGCTCAATTGGGAGGCTGAAGTGCATCGGTATTTGCAGGTTGAAGGATACCATATTGATAAGCAATGAGGCAATTATTCAGAGGTTTGGGATGAGCTGCAAGAAGAACGGTGCACCGCGTGTGAGAAGTTTGATGTGGATATGTGTTGGTCCATTTTTACCTCCACTATGTTTCGCTTCTGGAACAGGCATACCAACTTCGAGATAGTGCCTGGTTTGGGTGTCAAAATGCATTGGGAAAATCATCAGCAGGCGACGTTTCACAGGAAGCTCATTGCACAATCTAGTGAGGCGCAGGAGCATGAGGAGATTCGTGAAGCTCTACGCGAGTTGGGACAACCTTCTCTTGAGAAACTGCAATCTTGGAAGCAGAGAATGCAGCAGCCGAGTGACAAGTCCTTGAAGAGCAAGTGGGTTGGCGATGTCTGTAGACGGGTTAGGGCTCCGGTCCGTAAACCAACTCCTTTTATCAAGACTAATTCTGGTTGGACCAAGACTCCCCAAGAGACGGTGGATGTCATTCGTGATTTCTTTGCGACGGTCTATCAACATCATGATCATTCGTCTTGGGATGTGCGTGACAACAACTATGATGTCCCTGATGCTATGTGGAATGTGAAGCTCCTTAATCAGATTCTTAAGAATGGGAAAGGCGTTTCCTCTCCAGGACTGGGTGGATGGACATATGCGCACTTCAAGAAATTGCCGCAGAAAGGTGTGGATTTTCTCCACAGTCTCTTTATGCTTTGTGTTATTTGTGGGAGGGTCCCCAAGCACTGGCTGAACGCCAAACTCGTGGTGATCCCCAAAGGTGACGCAAGCTTTGATCTTGATGCTATGAGGCCCATCACTATTGAAGTTAGGGCTCTTCGCATCTCCCACAAGTGGCTTTTGAAATGCGGGGAAATTTCCTTCGACAATCTCCCTGAGAATATTATTGGGGGTGTCCCTCGTCGCAGTGGGTACCAAGCATGGCTGCACGCCTCCCTGTCGGCCGAAAAATGCCAGAATGAGTCGCACCTCTCCTTCCATGGTGTTGCAATAGATACGGTCAAGTTCTTTGACTGCATTCCGCATTGGCTTGCTTATCAGGCTTTGACCGAGTGGGGCATGCACCATGCTGCTGTGGGTACTTGGATGCACTCCATCAAGCACATGAGAAGATTTGTTTCCACCTCAGGGATTGTGGCCAGACGACCTGTCCTTGGGACGATTGGGTTGCCTCAGGGCGACTCGGTCAAGAGATCTCAACAACACGGTCTACAATTATGTGTATGTTGATGATAGGCTACTTTTCACGGAAAGTGATTCGAGTGAACTGCAGTATGCCTTTCAGCACACCGAAGCATGGGACGCGCAACGCAATTTTCGTACGCAGGTCAAGACCTGTCAAATCAGAGATGTGAAGAAGTCTACCCCTCTTTCCTGGCGGGATGAGCAAATTGTCAAAGAAGTGAAATCCGTCGATCACCTTGGGGTTCCCCTTGCTATTGGGCTCTTCTCCTCCAAGACGTGGTTTGAGAGAAAAAATCACAGAGCTGTCACTGCGCTTCAACTGCTTGCAAGGGCCAACCAACCAGCGGCCACAACCAGCATGATTGTGCACACTGTCATTATCCCGATGCTTACCTATGCAGGCACTACCTTGAGACCTACCAGAGAACAGTTTAGGCAGCTTCGTACTGCCACTCGTTCTGCGGCGCATGGGAACAAGCTTGGGACCTTCTCGGCCAGAATTCTGTTTCAGAAGAACTACCTGCTTATGGACCCTGATTTGCTTTTGTTTGGCGGTGGTCTCAGTGGAGCCCCTGCTCGCAACACCTTCTTGTGTTTTGCAAAGATCTCCCCCCTAGGCTTCAGGTTAGGTGGGGTACTGTTCAGAAACAAGCCGTTGACCTCCTCGGTAAGTGGGAGGCACGTCATCGCGACCTACGTACAATTGATTACAATACACAGCTGGATCATGCCCCGGTTCATGTTGACCGTGCAGGTGAGCAGCATGCACACGCAGAGAATATTTATTTGCTCAACACTCCCTTCCAGAGCCACTTGGTGTTTTTGAGGGGACAGTTTTTGACCATTAATCCTGAATTGATGGCTGTTAAAGCCATTTTGTGGTATTGGGGAGGCTGCATTGAAGACTTCCATCTTCTTCGAGGAATGCTTGACCGGTGCATCTTTGACAAAAGCAAAGCAGAAGCCCTACCTAGAAGGCACACTTGGATTGAAGCCTTGTTGCTCTTTATCTTCATCGCTGGGGACAAAGCGCCCTTCCTGCGTAAGATCAAGACTGCACGCGAGGCCCAGTGGAAGATTCGCATGTTGTGTATGGGTATTCTTAAAATGCAAGGTGTTCCAATTGATGCTGAAGCTGAGCCGGACATGTTCGAGCTGTGTCAATCGTGGCCTCCACTGCCGACGTTGCCCTTTTGGGGTTCTTCTTCCCCGACACGACGGCATCAATATTGGACTCAAGGTTCTGGTTAACTTGAATGAGGAATACCTGATGATGGGTAAACCGCTGCGCAAGCTGTACATTACAATGGAACAGGTTGGGACGTCTATCACTTGTTGGAGACATTCACCGGATTTTGCCTCACTGGTGGTTCGGTCGCGTCTGAATGCTAAGAAAGCGGGTCCAGTGCTGCCTGGCTTGAATCAAGCCGCCGACCGTACCTGTATTGACTTTGGTGCTCTGACTTCGGTACAGGAGCGCATTTTGGCCTGCAAGGTTCTCTTGAGGGAGTTTCTTCTTGAGAAGATCCCCCTTGGCTTCTTGAGTGAGTTGGACGCTGAGCAGGTTCGGGATGCTCTCGGCAATTCCTGCGTGCAGCCTCCGTTTCTGCATTGGTCGGAGGCGACATCTGATAGTCCGGGTGGGCAAGTCGCCTTGCGGGAGCTCCTGGGCTGAGCCATTGCTTTGACTCGGCTTGGGACCCTGCTGAGCCGCAGTGCGCTCCGTGCGGATTTACAATGCCTTGGACGCGGCTGGGCCGGTACCGTCGTATGCCTCGCTGCAAGGTTTATATTTCTGAGCTGGTGACACAAGCATCCTGTGAGGCAAGGATAGCTGAGTTGTCTACGCAGATCGACTTCCTCGTTGCCCTTCTGTCCCGTTTAGGGTTTGAACCATGATTCCCAGGCAAAGTCCTGGATGACAGACAGCATCGCCATCGCCAGCCACAATCAAAACCCGGGTAGATGAAGGTTAGTAAGGGACGATCCCAACCATAGATAGCTGCGGCCGCCTTCTTAATCCCGTACATGATTCTGGGTAGACCATTTTAGTACCAGGTTTTGATTGCGACTTACCTCGAGCTCCCCTCAAAAGGGCCACACCCTTGCGCGCTTCCTCCGGACTTTTCCCGAGGCGAAAGAACCGCACGTGGAGCCCGAGTCGGAGAAGTTCGCCGGGGGTCCGCGGAAAATGTGGGGGAGTCGTGGCTTGGGCGACTTTGGTTGGGATGGGCCCATGAGAGTCTTACCAGGCAGACCTATGGTGGGATCAAACCAAAAATGGTGGGCCATCATGTTTTCCACCTCCATTAAAAGAATGGTTGACCCAATTTCGATGGTTGAATCCTTAGGCGAATGGCGTTCACGGTGGGTTCTCCCGCATTGCTTTCATGGTTGGAACCTGCAGGGTCAGCCCACTAAAATGGGTACCCTCAAAAGGACACCCAGAGCCGCGCCTACCCTTTTAAAGGAGCTTGCCTTGAAACAAATGGAAATCAACAGGACGGACCGAGCTTCGTTTTGGGGGGGTCAGATCTTTTTGTTGGACCTTCCCAAGGCGACCAAGGAATCCTGGAATGGGTTTGTGTTTTTGAGGGTGTGCTTCTTGGGTTTGTTTTCAAGGGAAACCAAGATGAAGCCACCCATGTAAGGGTTGCTTGAACAAAGACAGACCCAAACGGGAACCCACTGCGGCTGTAAGTCCAATATTAACAGGGTTGCTAACCATTTAGCGATTTGTCCCGGACCATCTAAGCACATCCACAAATTGGCAATTTGTGGTCCCTGTTGTATCAAGTTTGGACACTCAGGTTGGCCCTGCTGGACAGGTGAGTTGCTGAACTTTGCACATTTTGGGAGGACCGTTCTCACAAGTTGTTTGTTGTTCTGAGCAATCCACTTTGGAAGTGAGTAGCGGGATAGACAGCGGCTGAAACTGAAAGTGGTTTTACTTCCACGCTAGCTCTGGATACAGACTTTTAGTTTTGCTGGATACCCGTCAACTTTAGCACGGGCTTCTTGTTGACAGCGTGGTACGCTCGAAGCAAACAGTGGAGTGTTATTTTCCAGTGACGGGGCCTCCCTCCAGTTCTGCATAGGAGGGTTGGTCAAGTGTCCGATGTGGAATTAGATATCCGGCAGCTCCAGTGTCTTAGCCTTAGGGGCTAAGTGTCTCCCCGGTATGATGGACACTTAGGGTCTATGTTGCAACCTCCTTCATTGACAGGTATGGGAGTTTTAGGGTTCCAGGGCTGCAAAAGTCGACTTCAAGTGTCCATGGCACTGAGTCTTCCCCCCCCCCCCAAGGGCCACAGAGTGCCCCCAGTCGAGGCCTTGTCGCCGCACGCAGATTTGGATGAGCTGAGAGAGCGCCTGGGATGCGAAGTTGGACGAAGCATCCGCTTTTCAACTGATCCTATGGTTAAGGGCCCAAAGCCCCCAATCCCAACAGGGGCTAAGACCGACAAAAAGGCCTATTGGGGGCCAATACGTTCCCGTTTTGGGGGGTCTCCCTTTTTGGGGGGGGCCGTATCCATGAGAACTGAGAGGTGGAAATGGGCTTGGGCGGACCCAAATGAGTGGCTTTGCTTTTGGCTTCTTTTTATGCGAATGCAAAAGGGGTGCCCAAATACGCTAACACTCGGCTCCTGCAGTCGCAGCAGACCGTTGTTTGGGGCGATGCTGGCCCACCTGTTATGCAGACTTGCAGCACTTGTCTGCGCAGCTGACTTGTGAAGAGGCACTAGGGATCTGAGCCAAAGAGAAGGAAGAAACTTCAGTTGTTTCTGACCCTTTGCTGGTCTGTAGGCCATAAGGTTTGTTGACATGCCGCAAGTAGTATTTTCCAGCCAGCAGTTGCTCAACCAAAGAAAAGTCTTTGACACGGGAGACATGCAAGAGGCCTTGCAGCGGCTGCTTTTTCAATCGAGTCTTGCCTTTGTTTGCAAGCACTCGGCAATGACATGGAGCAATAGCTGTTGCCTTTTTGGCTGGGGGCTTTGGGAGGCATGCTGACGGTGCCTTGCAATCAGACACAAGACAAATACTAGGTCCCCCAGTAGTGCCCTTTTACCAACTTGTTTGGTTGCGAGGGTTCCCCTACTACAATATTGTCCGAAAACAATCGGGCACTCTTATTCCAACCTCTCAACTGGAGGACCTAGAATATTGAAGACGATCCTGTTCAGGGAAAACTATGGGCCATCAGGGCCATCAGCAGGCGTTTCTCGGTTTCACCCCGCTGAAACCGCGGAACCTTTTGGAACTTGCCCCACCCGACGCCCACAGACGTTTCGCAGAAGGCCAACCGTTGAACTCGTTGCTTTCAGTTGCTTGAGAATATGTCTTTAGTTTTCCTTGTTGGTTTTAAAAGGGTATCTATCGCCGCTGGACATGTTTTCACGTTTTCCAGGGGGCGCTCAAGCAAATGGACGCTGGGCTTTGTCTTTCGTCAAGGTCCCAGAAGGTTTTTCACGTGTTCCAGGTCGTTTGGGTAGGTCGCCGTTTCTTGATTGCTATTGGGTAGCGGATCTTTAGACTTGAGCTTTTGGGAAGTCACGGGTTTTCCATTGAACCCACAAGAAGTTGTTTTTTGGGCAGATGGGGTCAACAGCAACCAATGTTTAGAGCATATCCCACCTTGACATGTTGAAATAAATCTTCAGACATCTTTCCGAGGTCTCTTAGTGAGCCACGGGCATCCATTTGGTTGGTTGGAAGGGAGTTAGAGAGCTGGGTATATTCTAAAGACGGAGCTAAGGAGCTGCCAGGGTCTCGGTAAGAACGAGATGAGAACTTGTATATTTAAGATCATTTTCGTGGAAACCCAAGCGCTTGAACTTTTTCGGACCATCCACTCGGGAAGCGAGTACCCCCCCCACACTTGACGGTTGCTGGAGGTTTGTGCGCTGCGAGTCGCTGGAACGGATGCAGCTGTGCATGCGCTTGCAGAAGCAGCAGGAGGGGACGCAACAGATCCAAGAAACCCCTTGACCCCTGTTCGACCGCTGCCCTGGTGAAACGCACGCGGCTCCAATCCACTGCTCTCCCCAAAGACTTGGACCTTGATTCAAAGGCCTTTTGCACGGGATGGCCATTGGGGAAAGTCACCAAAACGAGGATATTTTCCACCGGGAAAAGTTACCCATGGTCATTTGGGGGCCGAACGAAATATTGATCAGCCCCCACTTGTTGATCGACAGGTTCAAGTTCTGCAATTGTGGTTGGCTCTCACACCCCGCCAAATGGATGTTGCCCAAAGTCAGGCAACTTGTGGTTTCCCTTAAATGGCCATTCCTAAATGGGGGTTCGCGTATTTTTTTTTCGGACAGGGCCACATTTAGTATATTTGACAAACATGAACTTCAAGGGAGTCAACCAATCCCATCACATATAATTACAGAAACAAATGAGATTTGGCTTGCGGCCTAGGGCCCCATGAAGGCTTGTGCATAGCGCAGTGTGTGTGTGTGTGTTTCTCGCAATGAACCACATCATGTTTCGGGCGGTTTGGTGAAGAGCCCAATACTTTTTTTTAGCAATCCTTAATCATTGTGCCAGATGGTCGTGGTTTACCTTGTAGTGTCCCTCTACAGACTAGCATTTGAGCAGCCCAGTTAAAAGGTTGTTGTTTGCAACGTACTGTATATTCCGTGTTTCAGCAGGGTGGTTCTCATATACCCCATAGCGCCATGACACCCCGTGTGTAGTTCGTGCATTTATTGTGGATCTCCCAATGCTGGGGTGGTTCAAGAGGTTGGGACCTTCCTTAAAGTAAGGGAACCCTAAGGAACCCTGTCTAGCATACTCATGCGCCGTTGGTGGATTTCACGTGTTCTTCCCCATGTTGGTCCTTTAATAAAAAACAAGAAGTAATCTTTTAGTACTCCCTTAATATTCTACGGGGGTGGATCCACAGATTCGCTGCATCCAAACCGTTTTGGGGGACCTATAAGGCTCTCAACCGCCTGCGGCTTGCTTTTGGATGTCAGGAGCTCCTAGAGCATCTCTCGGAGAAGGCGTCGGGGCACTCAGCACGCCCGATGGGTTCCTGGTACCGTGTGGTCCGGAGTTGTGGGGTTTCGGAGTTCGCCGTTTCACCTTGGTTTGAAAGAGAAACCAAAAGGAACACCACAATCACACCCCTGTTTTGACCCATATGGGTGTGGATTTCACCTCGGGACCCATCTTTTACGTTCGTGGTTGTCCTGCGACCATTCGTCAGGGTTCCTTGCTAAAAACATCACTGTGAGACTTATAAGACGGGTATAGACGGGTGGTTTGCCTTTGGCTTCCCCGCAAACCCAGAAAACGCAGGGCGACGGCTGAGCCTTCCAAAATGGGAGCCAACGAGCGCGGAGTCAAGTCGCCTTGGCGAGGGGCAGCGAAAGTTGGACGAACTGACCAACGCGCCCCGAAAAAAGGACGCTTCTAGCATGGACGAAATACCTTTCGTGCCTCGAAAAAAGAACAATGGCTGAAACCATTGGTTGTTGGTATTTACGTTGGGGCAGCATCAGAAATCAGGGTTTCTTGGGTGGCAAGGATTGCCCTCTGAGGGCGGCCCCTGCCTAGGCATTGTGAGATGTTGCTGGGTCGGCTTAAAGCTTGGCTCGGTTAGGCTCACTTTGGCGATTTCCTACTTATGGCGGACAAACGTGGTAGTCTTGAGCTTGCATGTTTGGTGACACAGGGCAACAGACACCATGCATGCTTCATGCGCGGGTCGCGTTTCGATCCTTTGCCTATTCGCATCGCGGAATTGAGGCTGAAACCGACGGTGCGGGGCTCAGAAGTCGGGGTTGGCAGGTCACGCGGACCCCGACTGACCCAGCAGGTCACAGATGCTGAAGCCTATGCCAGGAATATCCCAAACTTGTCACCCTTGCAGATTTGCCAGCGGTTTCTCGTTTGAAGAGTGAGGAACCATTCACAACGGCCGTGAGCGAGCTATAGTATTTCCCGTCGATTTTGGCCCAAAGGAGATGTGCTTTGATGTTACTTCGATCTTAGTGTTTTTCATCTTGCGTTGGCACTGGGGTCATTTGTTTCTGGTTGCTGATAGTAGTATTGTTGTCTATTGGCTAGTAGTCACGTGTGTGTGTGTGTGTGTGTGTGTGTGTGTGTGTGTGTGTGTGTGTGTGTGTGTGTGTGTGTGTGTGTGTGTGCGTGTGTGTGTGTGTGTGTTTCCTTTGCTAGCGTCGTCCGCGTTTTGCCTTTGATACTGTTGCGCTTGCGCATGTTGTTTTGGTTGCACCCGCCCACTCGGAGGATTTCGCCTTTGATGGCAACCAGGCGAAGGCTAATTGTAACAAGCGGGAGGTAAATGTTCTGATTACTCTGTGAGTGGATCATTCCAGAGCAGTTCTTGATGGAGTCATTGTGGGCCAAGTTGTGTAATTCCCTGATTGAGTGTCTATATTAATATACATAGTTATATATATATATATGTATACGAATATATATACGGTGACGACTTTTAAATATGTGGGGGCCGGGCCTGGGCTTCAGGGCCGGGAGGTAGTGTAAGACTTCTGTTTAAATCGGATATTTAAAGTGGCTGGCCGGGCCACCCTCACGGGCCCTGGAGGTAGTATGAAATACATGAAATACCAATTAGGATATTCAAATGGCAACGCCGAGACAGACCCCTTCCCCGTAAAAACAGGGCGTAACACATTTCAAGCCCTTGCTAGCAGCTGCGTGGCGCTAGCTCCTGCCAAGCCAGGTCAGATTGCACAGGTCCAACCTAAGGCGCTATGTTGACGCAGACCTATGCTTTTGTAACTCCATGCTACATAAAAGCCTGGAATTGCGTAGCTAAGTGCGCTGAATTGAGCTGCCCAAGCCCTGTCTACGTGGCTCGTGGAGAAAGAAAGCAAGAAGAACATGAATGCCCCTTGTCTCGAACGGGACTCCCAGATTTCCTTGAATTCTTGAAACCCCTAGCGTCTTGGGATGGGAGCTGCTTTTAAACAAATCTCGGAAGAGAAGAAAGAGAAGCAAGAGAGAGAGAGAGAGAGAGAGATAGAGAAAGAGAGAGAGAAAGAGAGAGAGAGAGAGAGAGAGAGAATGCCTGGATCTGGCATTGGGCCCTGTGTCAGACCTGTTCCCTGCAAAAGGACAAACCTCCCCAGCACCAGTATAGCGGTGCAGCGGCTCGCGGGCCGTGGAGGTAGTATGAAGCACGAATTGGGACAGGGTGCAACAACGATGCGTGCAATTGCAGACCAGTGCTTTCGTAATTCCATGCTACGTAAACGCCTGGAATTGCGGAGCTAAGTGCGCTGAATTGAGCTGCCTAAGCCCTGTCTATGTGGCTCGTGGAGACAGAAAGCAAGAAGGACATGAATGTCCCTTGTCTTGGACAGGACTCCCAGATTTCCTTGAATTCTTGAAACTCCTGGCGTCTGGGGATGGAACCGGTTTCATCAAAGTCTCAGAATGAAAAGAATTTGAAGAAAAGAAAGAGAAGCAAGAGAGAGAAGAGAGAGAATGCTTGGATCTGGCATTGGGCCCTGTGTCAGACCTGTTTCAGACCTGTTTCAGACCCCTGCAAAAGGACCATCTCATATTCGCAAAACCCTGCCCCGAATCCGTAGCACACGCGCTGGCTCCTGCCAAGCCACACAGGTCCAACCTAAGGCGCCATGTCGGCGAAACACTAATGCTTCTTCTAATTGCAGACCAACACTTTCGTAATTCCATGATACATAAATGCCTGGAATTGCGGAGCTAAGTGCGCTGAATTGAGGTGCCTAAGCCTTGTCTACGTGGCTCGTGGAGAAAGAAAGCGAGAAAGACATGAATGCCCCTTGTCTCGGACGGGGCGCACACATTGCCTTAAATTCGTAAATCTCCTGGTTTCTTGGGACGGGGCCTTTTTTTCAACAAATCCCAGAACAACCGACTGGTTGCGGAAGATGCAATTGACAACAAACAGCAAGCAAATTGACAAGGCGGGCCGGGCCAGAGGCAGGCTTTCAAGACGTAACGCAAAATACCTATCTAAATCGGATATTTAAGTTGGTCGGCCGGGCTGGCGGTAACGCTGGCGGAGGTAGTGTAAAATCTTTGTTGACCTATTTAAGTGTCCGGGTGTTTAAGTGGCGACACCGTATATATATATATATACGAATATATATATATATATATATATACATATATATGTATATATATATATATATATATGCACCCTGCCTGACGAACGAACTGGGCCCAGTTGCAACCGTAGCCAGAGGCTTCTGAAAGCACACGTTCTGCCCATGTCAGAATCACAGCGCTCAGGGTTGTGGCTGATTGTGCTCACGAGCCACACGTGCGTGATTGGACTAATTAGATAGGTGTGTGTGTGTGCCTGTGTCATTAAAGTACAATTGTTTAAGTTGGCTCTTCTTTTATCTGAAAAGGACATGGCCGAAGTAAAGCCACAAGGATAGACAGATGGGGTTACGCAGGTTTTGGTCCATGTTTCCACTTACCAGGGTTCCATTACCGGTTTTTTGAGCCACAGCCGACCTTTTGACCTTTTGGGTTTCTTATGTTAGTCCACGTTTAGTCATTGAGTCATGGCTCCAAAAGGTTAACCTTTTATTTCCAGGCCCTTTGGGCAAGTAAGTAAAGCCAAGAGTGAAGCCACACGGATGTGGCTCAAGATTAAACCGCTGGGGTTACGCAGGTTTTGGTCCATGTTTCCACTTACCAGGGCAACCCATTTGGGCACCGGTTTTTTGAGCCAAAGCCACACCTTTCAGGTGTTTTCCGGGTGTTCGAGCGGGCCAACCCACTGGCGCAAGCAGGTCAACGGGAAGGCGGCCGAGATCCTGGCGGCCACGGAAGGCGAAGCTGAGCCGGCTGCAATGGCAGTTTGGTTTGGGTGTGGCGCTCCTGAAGAATGTTTGTTATTTTCCCAACTAATGGTCGGCCCCCCCCCCCCCAGCTGGTATCCCCAACCGCCCTGACAGCTGCCCCAAAAAACCCCGATCGAGCCTATCTGGGCAGAGACCATAGTGATTGGTTCCTCTTAAAACTAAGGGGAAAATCGAACACATTCTAAGCAAATGGAAGCACACAATGATTGACTCCTCCTAAAACCTAACAGGGGAAAATCGACGAAACTTTGGTGCATTTTGCCAAGGGATGTTAGGACTTGAACTTTTTGCAAACTACTGGATGTTTTCCGTATTAAACCACTAGAAGTGAAACTTTGAGCAGGGGAGCAGAAAGCAACCGATATGGTATTTCTCGGAAAACCTGGGTTTTCAATATATACCCTTGAAATAACGGGAGCGTAGTTGGAGTGGGGGGGCATCCTTGCTGTTTCCAGTTGAAAGAAAGCCATAGTTCAAGGACAGACCCGAAATCATATATATATATATAATAATAATTAATGATAATAATAATAATAATGATGAAACAACCAAAAAAAACAAACACAGGAGCGGTTCCATCTTTGGGCGTTCAATGGCGCGGATGCTGGTGGAGGGTTTCTACCTGGCACTAGGTGTCGCTAGCTGGTGGTTAAAAGGGGCCAAGGAGCTGCGAAGCTATTGTTCTGGAAGGACATGGCACATTCACAGAGTTGGAAAAGGGAAAACAATAGGAACAAAAGTAAGGCAAGCCCTGATGCAAAGGTCTTCAGAACGGGAGGGGGAACAGCTATGAGGGTCCTGTACGCGGGGATCGGTCCCGTTCAGGATTTGTCGTTTGCTAAATTTGCAGATGAATATGTGTCCACGTGGACTCTCCATGACCCTGTAACAATGGGGTCATGACCCGAATCTTTCTTTTGGGCAATGACCCCTTCTTTTGAGGGTCTTTGAGGGTCATGGAGACTCCAGGCACATCCCGGATCAGAACTGCACAGACTTGCACCTTGCCCCATGAGACCATGCCATGCGCAGGTGCGTGGCAAAAGCAAATGGGCACCGAGGCTCGGGGGCCGCGAGCCGGCGCTAAAGCACCTAATGGATTGAATAGTTTGGCTATTTGGGTAAGTACCATATCCAATGAATGGCTAAAGATTGCTTGTCTTTAAGGGGAGGGCTTAAGGAATTGGCGCCCGAAATTCGTGGTGGCTGAAGAGATCTTCGGATCTAGGGATTTTTTGGTTTGCACTACAGCTCGGGATTTCCGTACTTGACCAACAAGTGAAGCACTTTTTGCAGAGGGGTCGCTGCAGCAACCAAAGAATGGGTGGAAATTTCTGGGAGCTCTTTTGATGTGCAATGTTGCCCTCCCACTTGGATGAGCACCACTTGAGAAACCATGGAATGCTTCCCCTGATACGAAACAAACAATGGTATCCCATGGGTTCAAAGTGGTGCAGGATTTTGTCCACCAGTATGCTGTTGGTTTGCAACTCGGCAAACGTCACACACTCCAGCAACTCAGGACCCTGAACCAACCCAAGCCGTCCCAACCAAATCCGAAACCAAACAACCAAACCCCGACCCAAGCTCAAGACAACTTGGGGCGAATAAACCATCGTGAGCCCGACTGCCCCGCTATATCAAGCCCAGCTGAGCCACAATCAAAACCTGGGTAGATGAAGATTGTAAGGGGCAGTCCCAGCCGGAATTAGTTGCGGCCGCCTTTCTAATTATTTACATGGTTCTGGGTCAACCGTTTTTGTACCGATCGGTTTTGGCTGCTCGGAGCCAGCCGTCAGACCTCTTTGATTGGCGTTGCGTTGAAGCCGAACGACTGCGACATGCGCGCGGTTTTAGCTTTGCTTGCCCAGCGCCCAACAGGCGCAAAAATTGGCTTCTTTGTTTTTGTTTGGCTCTCCAGAAAATTGCGTGGCAAAACGCAAGTATTCAGTATCTGACTTAAGTTCACTGGCTGTGCCGGCGCTGGCTTGCACCTTTGGAGCTGCTTTTGCTTCCGTCTGATTTTCCGAAACACGGGTCTGATTCTAGCCGATGCAGCGGACGTTCAGCGCGTGACTTGCCGCAAACACGAAGGAGGCCTTCCAAGAAGGAAACTCCTGCACTCCAGGGTGCCCCATTAAAAGAACGGCAAGGAGGCAGTTTAGATGAAAATCCTTAGGCAAATGGTGGTTGTGTGAACCCAACCCTTGTCTTAATGGTGGCAACTGAAGGTACAATGGATGAGTCCCAGCCCTTGAATCACTGAACTGCGCCGGGGCCAGGTGGACGAGCTCAAGCTTTCGGTGGAGAACCTGGCGCAAGACCTGCGCGAGATCCAGGAGCTGCCTAGAATGTTTGGCCGAAGCGCTTTGCCACTTGGGTTGCGGTGGATGACCTAGAAAAATGCAAGTAAGTTAACAGGGGGACTCCCTATGTTGCTGCAATTTCCACTGGTTTGTCGGGTGGGTGTGGTTGGTTTACTTGCAACATTTAGGCCATCTTGGAAGCCCGCCCAAGTCGAGTTGATCCACTCGCTTGATCTGAGGGAAGGAACCGGCCGGGAGACCTTTCGGCGAGCCGGCAAGAAAATCCGATTTCAAGATCCAGACTCTGCTTTTGTTTGAGGTTTCTTGGAAGAAGGGTTCACTATATTTCCCATTTGGGCTGCCTCAATCACCGTTTGGATCAGCTTAAAGTGAGTTTCCTTTTGCTAGGGTGATGTTTGAATAGGAGACGCACTGTGGATGGACGAAAACCTGCACCACCTAAGAAAGCCTGGCATGATGATTCGCCTGTGAAAACCAACAAACAGCGGTTTCCCGTGGTTTCCCATGGTGCAGGATTTTGTCCACCCACAGTAGGAAGCCCTGGGAACGTTCCAAGCACCAGCCGCACAAGCGAGCGGTGATGTCCGGGGCCAACGAAAGCTGAATTCCAAGCAATTGGATGTTCAACCAGCGCAAGGTAATAAGGCGTTTTTGTTTTTGTCCATGGTTATGCGGGGATCAACTCCAGTTGCCCGAGTTATAACCATGGTTATGACCTACTTACTAAGTTGGCTAGACATCCAAGCAGGAGCAACGCCAGGTGGACATAGCCCTTGCTATTTGTAGGTGTCCAAGTTCTTGACAGACTATTGAGAGGGCTTCGCCTGGCTTCGAGGGGTGGGTGCAATAGTCTCAAGCTGACGTTGGCTCTCTAGCTGTCTTTGAGAGGCTTGGTGAACGGCTTACCTGGCTCGTACGAGGAGTTACATAGCATTATCTTGCAACTATCGCCTAATTGTGTATTGCTCACAGGAAATTCTGCAAGCAGAAACAAGATTGTCCCACCAAAGGTTTTTCTGGCGACAAGTCCGCCGCTGATATCTTGGATTTGAAGTACTTCACAAGTCCATTCTAATTGTTCAGGTCCTCGAAATCGCTCTTCGGTCCTGGCCCTCTCCAAATCCCCACCGCAGGAGACCCTGGTTCCCGAAGGCCGTGAGAGGCGCCGACGACGGGGGAGCATCCCATGCGTCACTTGCAGGGTGGCCCCTTAAGGGCAGCTTTGAGGCCAGCCGGGGGTATTTGTCGTCCCAAAAGCAAAGCAAAAGGGGCTGGGTCTGTTTCCCCAAAAGTGGCTCAAAGTGGCTCTGGGGTCTTGGGGTGGCTTTTGGGAGAAGTGGTTGCTCAAAGTGGCTCTGTGGTGGTTTGGGGCAGCATTCAGGAAGGGTTCCGGAGGGTTCCAGGGGTTCAGGGGCTGTCGATATCGCTTGGGCTTATTTTGGATTTTGCCAGACCCACCTATTTAAGACCAAGCCAAGCTGGAAAAACGAGAACGCAAACTGCGGCAAGGTGTTTGCTGGTCCTGCAGTTGCTCTAGAGGCTTTTATTTTGCGACCTCATCTTCCAGAAGGTTCGACACCATGATAAAACAAAGTCCCTTCATAAGGTTCCCTTATTTCCGCTGGGGTGAAATTATCTAAGCTTATCCAGAATATGAAAGGATCAATACAAAGCCTGTTGCCGCTTGGGGTCTTGGACTCAAGAGGCTGTGGGTCTTTTTAGTCCATGTTTTCTACCAGGGTTCCAGCCATTTTGGGTACCTATTTGGCTGTGGCTCAGAAAACCGGTACCAAAATGGCTTACCCTGGTAAGTGGAAACATGGACCAAAACCTGCGTAACCTCGTTTTTGTTTTTTTGTTTTTTTTAAACCAGGGTTCCAGCCATTTTGGGGTTACCCATTTTTGACCACCACAGCCAAGAGGCGGGAGATGTCGCCGTTGATTTCTCGCGACCCAAAACCACGGCTCGCCAGTTTCCGGCGTCCTGGCAGCCTGGTGTTCCGCACTCAGCCTGGGGTGGTCTCGGCTGGACCGCTGGACCGCTGGACCCAGACACCTCGTTTTCATTGAGGAAAAGTTAAAACCCATGAGTGGCTTTTGAGGAAAACTGTCCATTGTTGTGTTTTCTGGAGACTTCACTTTGTTGCATTTTGCCAATGGATGTTACGACTTTGACTTTTTGCCAACTCATGGCGGTTTTCCATTAAACCACTAAAAGTTGAACTTTCAAGCCTTGTGGTTTGTTGGCTTTGGTTCTGCCCACTTTTAGTAGGGGGCTGCAAAAAAAGAAGAAGCTCTATTTTTTCAAGCGCCTACCAAGGGTTGTGAAGCTTCTTTTTAACGCGAGGCCTTTAAAGTCAGCTAACAAAAAGGGTGTCTCGTTTTTTTCATGTGCCGACTGGGGGTCTGGCGTGTGGGAACATACGTCCAACCCTCCGTCTCGTTTGAAACAAATCCAGAAGGAGGGGTGTTCAAGCAGTGGTTTCACTAGGTGGGCGTCTTCTTTAAGGTTGGACCCGAAACAATTGCTGGTTTTCTCTTTGTTTTCCCTTTAACAGCAACAAAGAAAGGTGCCCTCAAGCGAGGGGTTGGGCCAACCAGTTTCTGGACTTTGATTTGGGAAGATAAGCTTGGTGGTGAACATAAAGGGTGAAGCTTGTTCGGGCCAGTGCCATCAGGTAGTGAGACTTATATAAGATGGTTTCCACCCCGAAATCACTCACAAGACAAAACACGGGCGCAATTCTTACATCGTGGATCGTGGTTATCACCCCTGTGTTCCTGGTGGGGTCCCGCCTACGTTCAGCACCATGTTTACGAGCCCTGCATGAGGCTTACAACTCACGAGTTGCGAGTCAAGAAAAGGAGCTGGTGATTTCCTGGCCTGCACGAATCATGAAGCACCAAGCATCCCTCCTCCCCCCGCCCAATAAAGAATCACGTTTGGAGGGGCTGTATTATTGGGCGTCTGAGTATAAGTAAGAATCATAAATTCGTCTATGGTCATTGGGGCGCCCTTCGGCTCATTGAATGTTCAAACCAGTCATTCGAACGCTGGTAGACCGCTAAAAAATATGGTTTGTTTATGGCGAGCTCACCGATCTGAGGTAATAACGACCATGATGAAGGTTCTTTACTTGGAGATCCCTTAGTTCAGCTTCTGGAATAGTAAGCTTTGCAGATCTGTTTATTTTGACTGTGTCTATGATCGAGCCTCACCGCAGTTTCCCCAAGCCAATGCTTGGAAACGGATTGGCTGGTCCGAAAATCGGGGACCTGTTTGGAAGTCCACAACATGCTCTGCCGCTTTTTGAACACCCATCTCAATGAATTGTCCGAAGCTGCTAGCACGACAACTTTTCGTGCGGGAACCGCCCTGCGTCCCTTCCAATGCCCCCGAGTTCCAGCCGCCTTTTACCCAGGTTGCACGAAGGCACCAAGGCAGGGCATCGACAGAACCGATTTCGGTGCCAACCCTCGATTCTGAGCTTGTTCAGGCCACAATTAACATATGGGATGTGTCAAATTAGGTGGATGCAAACAACAGTTGGTTTGTTTTCTGCAAAGAAGCACCCTTGTGGGTAGTTGGAGTTTAGGCGACAGCCGCAACCCCTTGCAGGAGGCGCGAGCCCACTTTGGATTCTTGAGGCAGGTAGACTCCTTGAATACCTTTTTGAGATGATGACTCATTCATTGTTAATGTTGATAGGACCACCTCCTGCCCTCCAAACACGGTTAAGGAAACAGTTCAGAGTCAAGAGCGCGGTAAATTGTGATAAGACATCCAGGCGCTGCTGAGAAGGACAAGCACATCAGTGCCTGCATTTACAGAGAGCGTTAGGTTGGCAGAGCGCTTCCTTCACCAAGTAACACTTTGGCATGTTTCATTTGAACGTAAACCAAGCGCAGGCGCAGCGCAGTAGAGGAAGGCCACCTGAGGACCTGTCCGTGCCTTCTCAGGCGTTGAATTGTTCCTTTGGATCCCAGTTTGACCTCCAGCATGAGCACATGCGTGGATTCCAAAGTGGCTTGCCGGGCAGCCTGCCAGGCACAGGACGAGTTTGTGGATGACAATTTGGTAGAGGTCCGGCGTGTGGATCTGGGATGCTGGTCTTTGTAGAAGGGTCTCATAGACCTTTTTTGGCAGGAGACAGTTTTCCATCATGAAAAAGATTTTTTTTGGTGATCGACCTTTGTTTCAGAAAGGCCTAGAGCGCATTCCCCCGGCCCTTTTGATCATTTTCATTGGCAGAGGAGTTTAGTACCGGGTGCTGACTGTGACTCGAGTGAGGTTTGGTCAATAACTACCACTCTTTGCTCCATGGGAGGGACGAGAAGGGACTCATGAAATGTCCCATCCCAGAAGACTCGCAAAATCTCTGTCCTGGTGAGTTTGACCATGGCTCAACAGATTTGGCAACGGACATACAGGAATTAGGAGACATTACCCATGCATGATCCTCTAGAGGCGCTCCCCGAGGTTGGCTTTTTGCTGTTTTCTTTGCTGGTCTGAAACATCCGTGTGGATCGATCGCAGGAAGGTGCGCATCCGCTTAGGAGGGTGCGGGTGGCGCAGGCAGACGAACCAGGATGGACTCCAAGCAGATAGCCCCTAGTTGGTGGTCTGGATCGGTTTGGATTCGGATTTGAACCCCTGGCTTTGGTAGAGAATAAAGAGGAAATTTTCCCTAAACCACCAAACCACCGATCCCAACCACGAATTAGGGGTAGGGTGACCTGTTGTTGTTGGCCAAGACTTACCTCAGTAATTTCATCGGAAAAGGGTCAAGCTATCTACGATCCTTCGGGGGAGCCAGACTTCATGGGCCCAGCCTGCGTTGCTCTTGCAAAGCTCCCAGGTAGAGCAGTGAGGCTCTGACACGGTCTGTTGGAAGCACTCATCGGGCTGCACGAGGTCATTTTCTGGAAGTGGTTTTCTTCGACCGGGGCAAATCTCTTGCATATTATCCCGTCATGTTGACGCTGGATTAGGGAATCCTTCACTGTTGGCGGAGCACCCGCCTATTGATCCACCAGGCCAAGGTTGATCAATTTTGAGTTTCTCAAAATTAAGCTATAGACCCCGTACGTAGATTGGTACTTAAAGGGAAATCAATTGGCATTGTACCACTTTAGGGGACTATTTTGAGCAACACTCATATGAGTCATGAAACTATGGGAAGCCCTGACATGGTTAAAACCCTCGACTCAAAACCCATATGGAACACGTGAAGTCCTTTTTTTTCTCTCTGACACCACCCCCCATTCCCGAGATGGGAATCCTATTTGGGGTGAAGAATCAATCCGCCAGGGGGAGTTGGACCGATCCTTCAAGGCGCCGGAACATGGTCCCGATGGGAAACCCCTATCTTGCAACCATTCTAGGGGTAACTTCCATTTCCATTCTTTCCAGGGATCCGAATCTTTCTAGAAAACCACCAAAAACCCTGGGTAAATGGCTGGTTTTTGAAAAGTGTCCCTACTGTGGATGGTTACGAAATCCATTTCGCACCGCCAAGGAACCCTGGAATGGTTCGATTCCCTGTAACTACCAACCAACAATGGTTTCAACCATGGTTTCAAAGTCCACGGCAACCATACTGTGGATGGACAAAATTATGCCGTTGGGATGGATGAAACTCTATCGTGCTTGGGGTTTACAGGGGCACCAAAAGGAAACCTGGAGTCCCCTTGAATCAGAGTTAAAGCTAGCCAGCCTGGAGCCGTGAAGTCTTGATTTTCCCTGCTCCTTTCTTCTCACTGCTACTGCCCTCCCCCCCTCCCCCGCAATGCTACAAAGCTATTTCACCGGTTTGCTTTGTCACTGCCTGCGGAGTTTTTGGGGCACGTGGCAACAATCTGGCCTTTGGCCGTTTCTGCCTACGTCGCTGATCATCTCCAGCAGGTTCCTGGCATCCACTTGGTTCACGGCATGGACCGGAATCGGAAGCCTTGTCTTTAATGTTGACCCCGGATTAATAAACCCCAGTTTACTCATCTGGGATTGTCCCCGGTTTTAGTGGGGATTTATTATTTTTGGAGGCGAACACCCCTATATTAATAAACCGGGGTTTATTATTCTGGGGTCAACATTAGGCAACTGAGGTTCCTGGTACCGAAGTAAGTGGTGACTGCAAGGGCTCCCACATGCTTCCCGTGCAAAAGTCTTTCATGCTCAGCTTCGCGTTTGTTCCGGGTTTACAGTACCTTTGGAACAGACAGGGTCGCCCATTTGCATGCGCAGCGAAAATTGCTGTTGAGGGATGTCCTGTTTTTTGTCCAAGGAGAAAGCTCGAACATGTGAACCAGTCTGACCCAGTGATTCCAAGTCCGATAGATAACTTCAAGGGAAAGTGAAGAGGAACATGGGAGGTGACCCACTTTGCCTAGGTCCCCCAAGGTGCCCTTTCTCTCCCCTTTTTTTGTTTGGGAGGGTTCCCCTACTAAAATAGACGACGTACAGAAAAAAATCGGGAACCCTAACCTCTATGCTCTCTGGAACGCGTCAGGTGTCCAGCGAGGTGGAGTCGGTTGCGGCGAGCTCAGATGCAAATCACCGAGGGCTTTGGGTTGATGAATATGGGGTCAACATTACCCAGAGGCTCCTGCACCTTTCAGTGGAAGACCCGACCCCTCCATTAGACACCCCGGAAATTTGGGGGTCTCAAAACCTGCCCTAAATACATCGGGAGCCTTTGGGTAGTTGAAAGCCCCATGGACAGATTTCACCTAAGCCTCGAGCAGTACGTCGATCAGGTAAGCGACCTGTGGTGTCGCTGAGATTCATGGTCTCAAGGCCTGAATAAGGCCTCAAAGACGGAATCTTGTTGGGTGAACCGTATGGCCTCTTTTGGATGCTGCGCACATACTCCTTGGTTGAATGGGCGGCACCCTAAAAGGGGCAACTGAGGCAAAGCAATACACCCTGAAATGATGATTCCCCTGTGAATACCAAACCAACGTTATGCTTTCAACGATGGTTTCATTTCGTGGTGCAAGAAGAAAATGGATGTCACGTGACCATCGTAGGGGGGTTTCTCCCATGGGTCGATGTCAGTCAGGCCGGTCTCCACTTCGAACCGGCGCTGGACCTCCAGTGGCTGGAGGAACGCCTGGAGGAGCTTTGATTTCGGCGTCGACAAGTCTGTTGAGATGTCTCCAAAGGTTTGTTTTGGATACCTGGAGTCTCCTTCTGACCCTTTCAAAATGGGTCCACGGCCCCATTCTTTTGGGTAAGGACCCCATTTTTAAGGGTCAAAAGGAGACTCCAGGTATCCATTTGTTGCTTGATTGTTTGTTGGAGCCCTTGGTGTGCCCGTTTTTAATTCGTTTGGTTCCTTGTGGTTTCCATTTGAACAAGCCCCCATCAAGAAAACAAATAAGGCACACGAAAAGACGCGCTCAAAGACACCCCCCCCAAAAAACACAAAAACACACACACACACACACACACACACACACACACACACACACACACACACACACACACACACACACACACACACACACACACACACACACACACACACACACACACACACACACACACACACACACACACACACACACACACACACACACACACACACACACACACACACACACACACACACACACACACACACACACACACACACACACACACACACACACACACACACACACACACACACCACCCACACGCCCCCACGCCCCCACGCCCCCACGCCCACACGCCCACACGCCCACACGCCCACACGCCCACACGCCCACACGCCCACACGCCCACACGCCCACACGCCCACACGCCCACACGCCCACACGCCCACACGCCCACACGCCCACACGCCCACACGCCCACACGCACACACGCACACACGCCCACACGCCCACACGCCCACACGCCCACACGCCCACACGCCCACACGCCCACACGCCCACACGCCCACACGCCCACACGCCACACGCCCACACGCCCACACGCCCACACGCCCACACGCCCACACGCCCACACGCCCACACGCCCACACGCCCACACGCCCACACGCCCACACGCCCACACGCCCACACGCCCACACGCCCACACACACACACCACACCACACACCACACACACCACACACACACACACCCACACCCACACACACACCCCACACCCCCACACACCCCACACACACACACACCCACACACCCACACCCACCCACACACACACCCACACACACCCACACACACCCACACACACCCACACACACACCACACACACCAACACACACCCACACACACCCACACACACCCACACACACCCACCACACACACCACACACACACACACACACACACCCACACACCCACACACCCACACACACACCCACACCCGCACACCCGCACACCCGCACACCCGCACACCCGCACACCCGCACACCCGCACACCCGCACACCCGCACACCCGCACACCCGCACACCCGCACACCCGCACACCCGCACACCCGCGCACCCGCGCACCCGCGCACCCGCGCACCCGCGCACCCGCGCACCCGCGCACACGCGCACACGCACACGCACACGCACACACACAGACACACACACACACACACAGACACACACACACACACAGACACACACACACACACACACACACAGACACACACATACAGACACACACACACAGACACACCCACACACACAGAGACACAGAGACACAGACACACAGAGACACAGAGACACAGAGACACAGAGACACAGAGACACAGAGACACACAGACACACAGACACACAGACACAGAGACGCAGAGACGCAGAGACACACAGACACAGACACACAGACACACAGACACACAGACACACAGACACACAGACACACAGACACACAGACACACGGGTCTGTGTTTTTTATCGTGTCAGTTCTTTAGTCTTCGTGGGAGGTGGGGCTTGGGCGAGCCATACCCCAGCTTACCCCGAACCATACCCCCGAGCCATACCCCGAGTCATACCCCTTAAAAAACACACAAAAAACGAACTTGCAAGAACTGTAGCATTTGCATGTGATCCATGGATAGCTGGAAGCTATAGGGGGTTTAACTTCAAGTGAAGAAGGGGGTCTTGTCAAGAAACAGTGTTAGAGAGCTTGACATGTGGACCGATGCCAGGGGGTAGGGACTTCGAGGTAATACCTGGTTCACTTGTGGTTCCTGGATCTATTCTTGAGCCTGCGATGCTTGCATGGTTGGGCTCTGATGTCATGGGGCCAAGTACAGTTGACATGTCCACTCACACACTCACTTGGTTACTCGTGGGGGGCCATTTTGGCTCGAGTGGTGTTCCTTGACACTCGGTTACCCACCTCGGTCTCGGCTTGCTATTTTCAATGGAAAGTGCAAATGGATGGAGTTATAAAGCAATCCTACGGATGTCCTGGGACTAGAGTTGTCTGTAGCATCCGTGGTGCTGTGGCGGGGGGGTGCAGCTTGACGTAAGACGCTGGGACTTGCAGGGCGCTGTGGCGGGGGGTGCCGCTGCTGAGCTTGAAACTTGGAGCTTGCTTCCTGGGCCACTGTCGCAGCGAAACACAAGCTGTCTTTGTGCTCCTGGGGTACTCTTTGTGTCTTTCCGGTCGAAAAAATCTGTCCCCCAATTCATACCCCCGATTCATACCCGATTCATACCCCGATTCATACCCTTCTGCTGCCATTAGCAGCCAAGAGCCTCTTGCGCTCTGGGCAGTACTAGCGAAGCTATGCCGCCCAAATCCTCAGAAGACACAAAACTCAAAGAGAAGCACTGCAGGAACCAGCTCGCGGCACTTTTCACAGAAGTTCGCCAGAAGGTGGGTTCGGAAGGCTTACTGCGATGTATCAAGCGCGACACGGTACACCACCTGTGAGAGGCCCACTAGCCTCTGCGCGGCTGCCGTTTGAGGATGTCACGCTGTCTTGCCCTTACGCTGGTTCGTGGCGGGCCTGACTTGGCAGCGGCGCTTCCCCTTAAGCAACGCTTGCTTGGGTCTGTGAGCACGCGGGTCGGAGGTGGCCATGACGTTCGCCTCAGGCAGTGGCTCCACAACGAGTCATGTGTGTCGTTGTGAGGAGTCATCAAGAGAAGTTTGGGGGCCTGGGCAGAACGGCTGAAGGAGCCATGGTAGGACGCGAGCAGGGTGTCCACAAGAAAGTCAACGACCTTAAGCGATCCAAGGTCTTTGCCACGCGCATAAAGTAGCCTGGGGTGCCACTCTACAGCCCGAAGGCCTGACACGGCGCAGGGCCTTCCCCCAACCATTGCGCTGCTGCCTGGCCAACCATGCGTCCAACAACGAGGCGGCCTTCAGTGTCCAAGTGCAGCAAGTGAGGGTACGAAACAGCGACACTCATGAAGTACGCAGTTGGAGAGACCCGCAGACTGCTTGGCAGCACACGACTGGAAAGGCCGTTGCCACTGCGCACGAAGGCAGCTGTGGGAGGCAGGCGCGTCCCTGCGTGCGCCAAGTAACCAAGACCAAGGATGGCTGGACTAACCCACTCACGCAGAGTGGCAGCTGTCTAGTTAGTCTAGTTCAGGCCACTCACAAGCGCCCCAGGCTGGCTTGTAGCAACAAAGCGGTTCAAATTCTCACGACCAGCGCACGGGAGCTTTGCAGTGTCCAAAGCCACAAAGCAAGAGTTCAGAGGCGCGCGAGCCATACCCCGAATCATACCCCCGAGCCATACCCCGAACCATACATGCGATTCATACCCCTTATGCCAACCTCCCGGCACGGCCACGTCAAAAAAACACATACCCACACAGACACACAGACACACACACAGACCCACAGACACACAGACACACAGACACACAGACACACAGACACACAGACACACAGACACACAGACACACAGACACACAGACACACAGACACACAGACACGCAGACACGCAGACACACGCAGACACGCAGACACGCAGACACGCAGACACGCAGACACGCAGACACGCAGACACACAGACACACAGACACACCCACCCACGCAGACACACAGACACACCCACCCACCCACCCACCCACCCACCCACCCACCCACGCACGCACGCACGCACCCACACACACACACACCACACACCACACACACACACACCACACAGACACACAGACACAGACAGACACAGACAGACAGACAGACAGACAGACAGACAGACAGACAGACAGACAGACAGACAGACAGACAGACAGACAGACAGACAGACAGACAGACAGACAGACAGACAGACAGACAGACAGACAGACAGACAGACAGACAGACAGACAGACAGACAGACAGACAGACAGACAGACAGACAGACAGACAGACAGACAGACAGACAGACAGACAGACAGACAGACAGACAGACAGACAGACAGACAGACAGACAGACAGACAGACAGACAGACAGACAGACAGACAGACAGACAGACAGACAGACAGACAGACAGACAGACAGACAGACAGACAGACAGACACACAGACACACAGACACACAGACACACAGACACACAGACACACAGACACACAGACACACAGACACACAGACACACAGACACACAGACACACAGACACACAGACACACAGACACACAGACACAGACACAGACACAGACACACAGACACACAGACACACAGACACACAGACACACAGACACACAGACACACAGACACACAGACCACACAGACACACAGACACACAGACACACAGACACACAGACACACAGACACACAGACACACAGACACACAGACACACAGACACACAGACACACAGACACACAGACACACAGACACACAGACACACAGACACACAGACACACAGACACACAGACACACAGACACACAGACACACAGACACACAGACACACAGACACACAGACACACAGACACACAGACACACAGACACACAGACACACAGACACAGACACACAGACACACAGACACACAGACACACAGACACACAGACACACAGACACACAGACACACAGACACACAGACACACAGACACACAGACACACAGACACACACACACACACACACTCACGCGTCCGATGTCCTTTTGGTTATTAGCCTCAAGGAAAAGCCCTGAGATGCCCTTTTTCCTGTCCTTTGGGGCGCAGACACTGCTCATTGATTTTACCACGACACGGATCGCAAACTCTCCGGGAGGTGTTTGGCACCAGGCTTCCGTGTGCACAGAACAATGATCCATAGCCATTTCGGACATGTCAGAGGCCACAAGAAGATTGGTGCCGATCTCATGTAACCCTGCGGAGGGGGCTCCTGTCCTTTAGAATTTGGACCCTCTCCATGACCCTTAAAAAATGGGGTCAGTACCCTAAAAATCAGGATCATGGACCCATTTTAAAGGTTCATGGAGATTCCAGGTTCTCCTTTTCCACGGACCATTCCACAGGCCCATCCACCCGATGCGGCCGAAGCCGCACGATTTGGGTGAAACCCAAGCCAGGACCTTCAGAACCAGTGCGCCCAAGAGCTAACGGCCATGGACCAGCGCCTCATGGACGAGTTCGGAAATCTCAAGGCGCGTGGCAGAAATGGGTATGTTAGCGGACGGAGCTCCACAATCTTTTGAGCCTTGATCTATAGTGCCCAGAGGCTTTGGGTGGCTAGTTTGCCACTGGTCTCAGCTGCAGAGCCTGAGAGGTTCCCCGGCTTTGTCCGAAGGGGAGGATGACTTGCCCGTGCATGAAGCACATCAGTGGAACCAGTTGGATCGTTTGTTGTTTGGATCAGTGAATTGGAACCGGTTAAGGCGCCCATGGAAATTGGCTGGAACCAGTTGGATCGGGTGGCTAAAACCAGTTAGGTGATTAGTTTGCTAGAGGGAGGGCGATGACATTGGTCCTGGTCTCCTAGTTTGATAAATGGGGGGGTGTCCTTTTGATCTGTTTGGATAGAAATAGATGGATTTCCACTGGTTTAGATTGGTTTATGGCTTGTATGGCATCCCGCTGTTGTCCGGTTTTTTGCAGGCGTTATGCAGCTTTTTGCGGGCGTTGTGCGGTTCTTTGCGGGCGTGTTTCACTGCTGAGGCGTTTACGGCAATTTGCGGGCTTGCAAGGCAGAAGCCGAAACTGCAAGAACGTAGTACTCGTTGGAATGGCCAGGCACCCAAATTGGATTTCCATTAAAATCAAAATAGAGTAGACTAAATATGAAGTAGAATTAGGGTGAGGGTTGGTACAGGCTTTGCTTGGGTTAGTCCAAACCCAGGGAACAAAAACAAAACACGGGCCCAGAAGCCAGACACAAAAACCAAGCCAAACTGAAGGTTTCTTCGGTCCTGCTGTTCGGGCTGGTCGAAGGGCAAAAGCCGCGCCGCTCGCTCCCCGACTGCCAAAAGTGACATCATAAGGGGATGGTATTTGAAATGTCCAGACGTGTCTCAGTTCCTGAGTTCTCATCAAGCCTTCAATGTGGGACTTGATGTCAATGTTCACTCACCGCCAAGCCCCGACATATGAGTACGGCTCAAAATGAAACAGCCAGGGTTACGCAGGTTTTAGTCTTTGGTTCCATCTACCAAGGTGCCATGTTGGTCCATGTTATTTGAGCCACAGCCATATGTGCAATTCTACTTGGCTTGAAGTTTGAGCTTCTGGACTCCAATTTGGGGTGGGACGAAGTGGCAAACAATTTAGACTTCGGCCAAAACCTCGAGATCAAAACCGTTCACTGTTGGGGAGCCATACCCAACCTCCTGTTCCAGTAGTGTTTACCCCGGGCAAAATGTGAAGCAACCGGACCCGGGTCTTTAGAGCCAAACGGGGTTTGTCTGAATGATGTTTCGAACATGGGCTGGCCCAACCCGAGCAATCCTGATGGAGCCCGCCTTTGACTTTGAGACCCGGAATGTGTGGTTTTCCAGGGCGAGCGGTCTTTTTTTTTTCCGGGGCCTTCCCAGCGCTCAAGCCATACTGTGGATGGACGAAATCCATTTCGCACCACTTGGAAGCCATGGTTGAAACCGTAACGTTTGTTGGCATGTACAGGGGAATCGAACCATTCCAGGGTTTCTTAGGTGGTGCGAAACGGATTCCGTCCATCCACAGTATGGCTTGGTTTTCCAGGGCGCGGTCCCGTCCGGTTTCGTGTATTGGCTTTTCCCGCTGCCAGGGCTTCGTGGACGCGGGGATCCTCAAATCGCGCCGCGGAAGTTTGCTGGGAGGGCCTCCCTTTCGCGGGGTTTAACTGTGATATTTAAGACCTTCAGGTCTTAGGTCTTAATTTCAGGAACCCGGGGTTTGAACTCCATTGATGCCTTGCCCAAAGAGATGACGGTTCAAGCTCACACCTTTGTTTTCGGCCTCCTCGTGTTTCAGGGATCCCTGGTCCTTTGGCTCAGGGGAAACCATTGTCGGAGTGGCACTGAAGGGAAACCACAAGCCTTGTTGGGTCCCCGAAACATGTAAAGCACTCTGCACTTAGAATGCGCTTGATGTTTTAGCTCATACATTTCTCCAGTTTACCTAGAGATGCTCCCCTGATGGACGTGGCATGGTTTGCGTGTGTGGTTGGGTGCTGGAAGGGGGTTGAGTGGTTGTGCGCCCCACCCACTTCCTTGCGGAGTTGTTGTGCCACGTGCGTGTTTCTTAATTATTGTGATCAGAAACCAGAGATTCTACGCCTTTGAGGTATCACATCAAGGCGGCTACCCTCAGATTCACATTGTGTGTTGCTACCATAATCCGTGTGGGTATGTGCTTTATTGATGCGCCCGACACCTCATTTAGTAGCTGAGCTGTTTTGTGGTCGGTGATTGTTCAATCTTACGTGCATAAGTGTTGGTTGTGTCCTGCTGACCCGTGCGCTTTGTCGGCGCTGATGAACATGTACATGTAGTTAAAGTGATTGCTACATGCGGCTGTGAAAATGTGTGCGTACATATATATATATATATATATATATATATATGTTACACACATATATATATTTATATACATACATACATATATGTGTCATATATATATAGATATGTGTAGGGGTACTATTTGTACATATGAGTTGTATCTACATGTGTATTCGTCTATGCTATGTATACGTATATAAACAACACAATATATATATATATATATATATATACATGCACACATGGATACACGACGTGTACACATTGAGATGGCCATTGCCATATCGTGTTGAGGCGGCCATTGTAGCGATGGTCAGCCGCATGAGCACCTTGGAGTCAGCCTCTGAGAATTCGACGCCTCGGGGATCGGTGGTCCATGGACCTCCCCGTCCAAGCTGGGGGTACTAGTATCCCAATTTGCTTAAAGAGGGAGGCGTTCGGAGCTACCTGGAGTGGAGCAAGTCAATGTGGAACCCAGGAATCATGCTATTTCATTTCAGTTGCCCAAAGAGAATCGACCTTGTAACCTTTTCATCTTCCCTGTGTGGTCCATGTTTGGTCATGACACAAGGTACACCCCCTTGCATTTCCAGGTCCATTGGGCAAGTGAGCATCACCTGTTCAACCCGACGAGCGCCTTATCAAGGGCTTTGGCCTAGGCTCATCCGCGGCAGCACCCTGTAGACCCCTGGAGGTGCATGGCCCAAGTAAGTAGCTAAATTATGATCCCATACCCACCAGAATGGCGCTCAACAGCGTGGAAACCACCTCCAAAGAAGGTTCTGAGAACTTTTGTTGATTGGTTGGGCCACTTTTCAGAGCTGGTGACTTTTGCGTATAGCGCGCTTGCATCAGACTGGTCGTCCTTCATGTGCTCAATAGCTTGATTGCCCTTTCCTTTGAAGCAACAAGATTCCCGGCAAGTATGAATAGCCGCAAGATGACATCGCCTCTGTGCACTGAACGAAGTCTCTTCTTGCAGGGTGCAGTCCTAACTAGTCGCAGTTGGGGCTGCAGGTTTGATTGGTTCCTGCCTTTGTTGTGCATATATTACCCTAAGCAACTGAGTTGCATGTTCTTCCCTAAGCAGAAACACTGAGGGGCCGAGGAGGTTTGATGGATCGTCCAAGGGAACCCTGGCCAAGTCGAACAGGCTCAAATAGCAACTGCCGAGGGTGCTGTGACGCATTTTTCGCCCGACCCTTGGAAAGCTGAGCTCGCCGGCAAGGCAGGTTAGTCACACCTCATAGGCTATGGAGTTTGAATCAACGACTTTACCTCTTTTTATTCAGAATACGTGTTGTTCTAAGAGGGTTGTGAGTACCAACTGTTCGGGAGGGTACGCCACAAAGTGAGTCACAAAATCAAAGCGTCAGGAAAGGGGTGCGGAGGTCCGCCCTCTTGATCCTCCTTGGTAGACAGACCGCTTTAGTACCGGTTGAGTGTGACTCAACTGAGGCTTGGTCAACAAAGACCAGTCCTCTCTGGTTTAAATCTTGGCTTTTTGGTTGGAGCTTGGGACTTTAGCTTTTTGGTTGAACCAGCTCGGATGAACCCATTGGACCCACAGAAAGGTGAACTTTTGCAGAGGGGTCGTTGCCACCCAGCACTTCGGGGTGACTCCCCGGCGATGGCGAGGATTTTCGTGAAGGGCGAGGGTGGAATCTCCGAGAAGATGGACTTGGGCCTGCAGAAGGCGAGAAAGCGGATGCGCTAAACCTCAAAGTACTTGGACGTGGGGAAACTTTCTTAGACCAACGTTTTCGGCGGGTTTTTGAGTTTTGGTTTTGTTTCCCCAGAGCTTCAGTGCTCTTTTTCCTCTTTTCTCTGAAGGAGTTTTGTTTATCATCAACTACCCCAAAATTGGAGGACCCGTTTGATTGCCCGCTGGCGACGGCTGGTGCGTGTCATTAGTCAACCATGGTCGGCACTCCGTCTGTGCCACTTTTGGAGGGATTATCATAGTGGGTCCGGCTTGCAGCCAGTGCTGGAGAATACAAACCGACGAAAGCCCGGTTGCTTGTTTTCACCTTTCTTCTGTGGACTAACGGGATGATCATGGATTCATACCCCTCCTGTTGTGGGGGCATGATCCATTTCAAGCGCAGTCACTGATACTGTGAGGTGAAGGGTCAGTTTGGGCAGGCTTTAGGACTGAAACTCCTTTTGCGCAGCACCTGTTGGAGGTATGACGAAGTCTTGGAACGCCCAGTGGCACCGTTCAACTCCAGCTCATAGCATCTCTTTTTCCATGACCCGGTCATGCACCCCTCACCAATGTTCAAGATTCAGTTGGCAAAAGTCAAGCTGCTTGGTCGGTTCACTCATCCTTGGAGCGTAAGCCCACGTTGCTTTGAGTCCATGTCTTTGTTCGGGCGTATCAACGTCATGAACTGGTTGGTTCTTTCTCAATAAATCACCAACCAAAAACCAGAAGTCACCAAAAAAGGGCCCAACATCTACGGATGCGACTGTCTACCAAAACTCGAGGTCACCAACCAGGGCTTAATATCTACCCCAGGTTCCCCAGCAGTGCCCTTTTACCCTTTTTTGGGGGAGGGTTCCCTACCAAAATGGACTACAACAAAAAGGTACCCTTATGTAGGGCTCCTTAAAAGAAATTCATTTTGCCACCATTTGAAACAGGTTGCTTTTTCAACACCAAAATAAAGAAAGGGAAGCCACCAAATAGACAAGTTGCAATGAGACCAGGTGTATTCACTGCATCCGGATCCCTGGTAAGGGCTTGGGCGTGGGGAGGGAGGAGAGGGGGAGGGAGCCCCCATCGACTTCGACGAGCTCGCTCGCAGGTCACTGAGGAGCTCACCTGCAGCTCCAAGAGGTGGGCACCGGAAGGAAGGAGCACCACTTTTGGTCCAGCAATTGGTGCCAACTTTTGCCGTTTCCTTTTTCTTTTTTGGGTTGGGAAGTTGGGAGGGTCCCCTGCTAAAATAGAGTGCAGAAAAAGTTTGTACCCGTTTCCTTTTTTTGGGAGGGAGGGGTCCCCCACTAAAATAGACTGCAGACAAAAAGGTAGGGTACCCTTATTCTAACCTCTCTACTGAGGATGAAATCCAATTCGCACCATTTGAAGCCAGGGGTAAACCGTAACGTTTGTTGGTATTCACCGGCGAATCAGCAGAAGCCAGGGTTTCTTAGGTGGTGCGAAATGGATTCGTAACCATCCAGAGTATTTCCACCTTTGGGCAAGTGAGATTGGTAATGTTGACCCCCTATGTATCAACCCCAGTGTATGAATAGGGGGGTGGGGGCCCCTCCAAAAGTGAACAATCCCCCACTAAAACTAAAACCAGGGACACCCCGATATTAATAAACAGGGGTTTAATAATAGGGGGTGTTCATTATCGGTCAAGACTTTTCCCACCGAATTCACCGAGGTCACGAGGCCAGGTTTAGTATTTGGCGACCCATTTACCAGGGCAACCCATTTTGGAGTTACCCGGTTTTTGACCCGCACCCAGGTTGGTATGTAGGGACTCATGAACTCACAAACCACTACAAGGGTCCGGCCCATTTCCGAAAACAACAGATGGGTGGGACCACCCATTTTTGGGGGCGAGAAGGGCGACCGCACGAAGTCTTCCACAATCCAAAGAGCTCGCCCCAATTGCCTCATGTTTTAGGGAAGCAACTCATGTGTGACCGTGTGTTTTGCGCAGGTCCCAGGCGACGCGATTGTTCGCAGGTGCCTGGGAAGGTTGTCATTGAATATCTACTTCTCGGAAGGGACAACTGGGTATGGGTCAAAATTAAACCACCAGGGATTGGGCCGCAGAGTTTAGTCTATTCCATTTTCCAGGGCTTGATCCATTTTGGGGTTACCCGATTTTTGACAACCACTGCTGATTGGCGATTTTGCTCCCAAGATTTGATGACTCAGGCATGAACATTTCTTTCGTGGAAGGCGGGGCCAGATTTTGGTGTGGGTGTGTGTGTGCCGTGTCTGGGGGCTACTCTTGTACAGTTTGTTTGCTTTTCTTTCGTTTTTTTCTTCTTCTTTTTTCTTCTGGAAAACCAAAAGTACCTCAAAGTCCATGCTGTCCGAACTACTTCAGGTGAATAGTAGCTAAAAAAGAAAGGGACACCTCACTCATACCGGGGTGAATACTATCTACCTAAATTTCCATGACCCTTTCAAAATGAGTCCAGGACCCCATTATTTTGGGTAATGACCCCATTTGTTTTATCATGGAGACTCCAGGTATACCTCAGGATGGGCTCTGAAAAAAAGCAAACCTGAGCCACATATGATCCAGCCTCTTGGCTGCGAGGCTGCAATCCTGTCAAGAGGAGGTCACTGAGCTGGCCACCAGGCGCGGATTTTTGAATCGACCCGGCTGTCCGAGCCATTTCCCGTGGTGGAACCTGCAAAAGCGGCAATTCCAATGGAATCCACGGGTAAACTACGAGTTTGCGATCAAGCGACAGCTTTGCTCCGAGGAATCGAAACGAACACACATTTCTGACAGGTCCCTTGAGGAAGCTGATCTACGCGGCACGCTCCCACACGTGCGTTGGTGGGAGTTGAATTTTGCTCTGCCAAATGTTTAGCTACCCTTGACAAGGTCACAATAGATCACCTTTGTTTGCAAATGTTTGACAGTTCCAGTGTTCTCTGATTTGTTTTGGGCATGCTCATAGGTTTGGTCAACATTTGGGAGGAACATGGGGACTTGCGAAATTCCCAGAAAGACTAGGGGACATTTATTGTCCCGTGTCCTCTTGGGCAAACAACACAATTGTCACCGTGGATAGCATGTGTCTGTGACCATGTGCGATCACGTTAGGCCTTGTCATGCACAGACACCGCTGCAGCTTCTTTCGTGTGATGCACAACAGGACTAGGCGTTTTCGCCGTGCCCGATCTGGTCGAACCCTCTGTTTTGAATCGGCTTTTTGATTCTTGGTTGAACTCTTCAACGCCAGCGTTGGGCAGGTCACCTACACTGCCATACTTTTCTGCCCCCCTCCCCAGATTCTTCCACTGACCGGGCGAGTGTTGCTCGAAGTTGCCGACCCCCAAAACCGTCACGCCTTGAAGTTTCAGGCCACAGCCACCAAATGTCCCGCAATTGGACTCGAAGCTAGCTGGACGAGCGAACGGGTGCTCTTTTTTTCTTCTTTTTGTTTTTCTCGATTTGGATTTGTTTAGAAAGTGGTTTGCCTGTTTGGGGTACCCTCAAAGAAAGACACACCCAAATGATCTTTCAGGGATGGAAAACGATTCTACTGGTACCACCCACCAGGGACCGAATCGAGCGCGTGTTTTTTTTTGTTTTTGTTAACTGTTAAGAAGACAATGACCAGGACCGCAAAAAATGGGGAGACAATGACTAGGACCGCAAAAAGTGGGGAACCCAATATTTCAGAAACCCTGAAAGCACCGGCACCTACTCTGAAGTTGCGAAGGCTGTCGTGTCTCCCGGTGCCTTCTCTCACGAGGCTGAAGGCCGCAGAGCAACGCTGGGGGCCCGAAGCAACCCTGCGCTGCGCGGAAACCGAAGCGCTCAGAACTGGCGTGGGGCAAGGGATTTTGGTTGAAGCGGCTTGGCTGATGTTGACATGCATGTTGTCATTTTTTTTGGGGGGGGCTGCAAAAACTGACATGCATGTTGTCAGTTGTTTGTTGGTTCTGTTCATGTTTAGGGGGGCGGCAACAACTGACATGCATGTTGTCAGTTTTTGTTTGTTGGTTCGGTTCATGTTTAGGGGGTCGGCAACAACTGACATGCATGTTGTCAGTGTTTGTTTGTTGGTTCTGTTCATGTTCAGGGGGGCTGCAACAACTGACATGGCATGCATGTTGTCAGTTGTTTTTTGTTCTGTTCATGTTTAGGAGGGCTGCAACACTGACATGCCTGTTTTTAGTGTTTGTTGTTCTGTTCCTGTTTAGGGGGGCTGCACAACTGACATGCATGTTGTCAGTTTTGTTGTTGTTCGGTTCATGTTTAGGGGGGGGGCGGGGGAAATAAAATGAAAAGGGTGTTGTTGGCTATCAGACCAAGGGTTGTAAAGACGGCCAGACCCGATCGATCCCCGGGAAACGAAAAGGGGGCTGTTTAAACTGGAAGCTGGGTTTGAACATGTTTGACAAAGGGCAATAGCCTACCTGGTTCCAACTGGGCTAACATGGAGGGCACCGTGCTCACTGAACTGGTTAAAAAAGGTCCTGTGTCAGAGTGGACAAATATTTTCCATGGGTCCCGTTTCACATTCCATGTTTGTTTCTGGGATGGTACGTGCAACGAATGGTGATGCAGCCAAGCATTCCCGATTGCTGAACAAAGAAACTGCCCCACTTCTTTCCGCACACACTCTCACAACACACGCACACACACACTTTCCTTAGTAAATGGCCCCAAGCCTCTGAAGACAGATTGGGGAAGTGACTTCTGAACAGGACCAAAGGTGGAGAATGGGTCGAGCGGGCGAGCGATGAACCTGTAGCTCGGCCCAACGAGTGGAAGTAAAGAGCTCAACTTGCTGGCACATAGTTGGTTTTTGGAGTTTACACGCGTTCAAACATCACATCTTCGGCCCCTCTCAAAGAGAGGTGTCTCTTGGCGTGATGTTGGGGAAGCAAGGGGACCTCTGTTTTGGTCGGTGTAAAGTAAGCGTTTTTTTTTTTTTTTTTTTTTTTTTTGCGTCCCTTTTAGCTCCTCGTCGTGATGCGCCCCTTCTTTCCTTGGTGTTCCTTGTTTTTCCTCTGGTTTCCTTCCGGTTTCGAACGTTTTCCGGACCTCAGTTCTCGCTGGTGCTTACCTGCGTTCTTGGTCATAGCTTCAAAAGCTAAACCTATCCCTTTCTGGGGTAACCCAGACAATGCTGCGACACGCCCATGGTCAGGAACCCCCCTACTCCAAATACCCAGTGTTTCTACGGTGTTTTGTGAAAAACCTGGGTTTCCATGGTAAATACCTTCTTTCTTAGTAGAGGGTCGACATCATACCCTAAAAACAGAGGGCATTTGGGGTAGGGGAAGGTCTTTTTCCCGCTCCTTTTTGTCTGTCTTCCTGGACCTCCGATTTTGCATCTCTCAGGTCTGGAGCGTGGCACGATGGTGGGGTACAGCCGGGAGCTGTGCCGGGCAACGGGCTCCTGGTGTCGAACCCCCACAATGGGGGGGGGGGTCTTAAAATGAGGGACCTCTTAGGTTGAAGGGAAGCCAGAAGGACAGCAACCGCGGGTGTTTGGCTTCTAAAGTTCCCTTCCTCGTCCCAAAGAATGGAACCCTGACACCCAGTTACTTGCTGGAGCTCAGCAGGGAATGAGGAATGACCCTTATAACCCATCCCCGGTGGTTTCATTCCAGGCAACCCCGCAACGGTTAATCCCCACGTTCTCTACTGAGCACCAGCGAGTTTTTCGCGTTCGTCTTGCCTTCCGCTCTCCTTCAATTTTCCTCGTGCCGCCTCTTGCTTTGTTTTTGGAGGCTCCTTTTCACGGTCGGGGGTGCCACGGCAGACCTAGCTTGTCGAACCAGTTACCCATAGACGAAGCAGTGAAATGAGCGGAACCCCTTTTCAGGCAGCCCGTCCAAATCAGAGTTCTGGAGCCTCCACGAAAAGGATGAAGAGACCCTTTGGTTTGGTAGAGGACTCCGTTTGGGAAGGCGCAGAAGGAGATTTGAGCTGGTTACCCCTGTGTTGGTGTTTTCAAAGAACACCTCTTCCTTTTTTATTACGCCTATTTTGGTGGTTTCAAAGAACAAAAACAGAAGGCACACCACCTCTTCCTTCGGAAGGGGGTCCCCCACAAAAAGACACCGGGAATCCGCCCGAGGCCCGGCGCCCGGGTTCCGGAGCCCCGAGCTGCGAGGCGCGGCGGCCATTCTCCGCGCGGCTTCGGAGGTTCGGGGCCATGTCCGAGGAAAGCCTCCGGGGAAAAAAATGTGGAGTCGACATCTGGGACATGGAGCCGCACAAATGGTCTTCCAGAAAGTCCATGTCCACGTTGGGAAGGTGCCTGGCGATTTTGTACGTAAAATTCATGGATGGACGAAATCCATGTTGCAACAGTTGGTTGGTGATCGCCACTATCGGCCGGGGTTTCATCCAGCCCAAGTGGCAGCACAACCTTCTGACCCCATGATTTTACCTATAGTTGCTTTGTTGTTTTTGGTGGGTGAATTCGGATGAAGATCTCGTCAGACAAAATCTCAGTTCCCAACAAAGCATGGTCAACCAACAAAAGAACTTGCATTCTTGCCAGCGTCACTGGGCAACTGGGTCAACAAATATTGGTGTGTCTATTGTCCATTGGGGAGCAACGTTAAGCTTTCTAGTCTATGGCAGGTTGAGAGTTCTTGATTCCAGAAAGAATCACAGGACGCTTGTACTATGTGCCTGCAAAGGGGAGTTTTCTTTGGTTAGTTGGGTTACACCCCCCCTTCATCCCCTGCCCTTTTGGCAACAAAAAGAGCAACCGCTTTATGGTCCAGTTGGGAGGGGCGAACTAAATCTTCACCAGATCCGGGAGCTCGTCTCATGGTTTCTTGGGGAGTGAGCGACCTTGGCTCAAGCGGCTTTTGCGAAGACCCAAGGCGACGCTCCTAGCTCCAGGTCCTTGGGAAGCTTGTCATTTACGAATCTTCTCGGAAGGGACAAATGGGCACCAGGGCACCGCAGGTTTTACTCCCTGGTTCCATTTGCGGTTACCCGATCTTTGACCCATGGCCAGATGGGTATAAGTCAAAGATTTGGAGATGGAACCAATGATGACCTTCCTGTCGGTTCGCTTAAAACAATATATGGGGTTACCCGATGTTTGTCCCATGGCCAGATGGGAAGTCAAATACGGAAGTGGAACCAATGATGGCCTTCCTGTCGGTTCGCTTCAATAACAACCCGGCAAGGCAAGCTACAAAGACAACACCTGTATGAAATGGGACTGCTTTGGATATGAAAACAAGGCAAGACACCAACTCTCAAAGCACCAGACTTGGACCCAGAAGCAACTATGACTTATGTTTCCCTCATTAAGAGGCAGCCTTGGATATTAAGGTTAAATTAAGGTTATATCAGCTGGGTCTGGTCCCCTCATGTTCAGGAAACTACAAGCTTTTTTTGAGCCGCCCATCGACTGGCAAGTTCAATGGAAATGCCTCGGGCTTTCCTTGCCCTTGCAGAAAACACCCAGGTAACACGGAGAGCAACGACTCTGCTCGGAGCTCAGCTCTGGCTATATGTGAAGTGTTTCCTTGGGAAAGTTCCTGCTGGTGAGTTTGTTTGATACGTCTTACTGTACCAGGGAGGGATCGACCCCATCAGCATCCAAACCGTACCAGACTTTTGGGAGCTCAACGTTGTTTTCTTTTCCCCGAGAACGCGAAGGGGTTCTCCGGATCTGACTTGTTGTCTTGCGCGCGGACACATGTTCCTGGAGGCCCAATTGATACAGAAAATTGTGCTCGAATGTGTTTGGCAGTGTAGTGACCAGAATTTGGGCAGTTGTTGAAATTGCACTCGGTTGCGCGGATTTGCGCCCGAGTTGCGCGAAATTGCGCCCGAAGTTGCGCTCGAATCGCGGTGCGCATTTCGGGCCAAGCCGTCTTCAAAACTGTTTGTTTCCAATCGGGCAGAAAAAGCGCTCGAACTCCGAAAGTGCAATTGAGCACTTTTTGCCTGTATCAATTGGCCCTCCAGGTCTTGCATGCAGCATGCGTCTGCCTTCCAGCGCGGGCCATGAGTTGAATATACCTGAACCCTCCACATATGTTTGGCTCTATTGCGTTGCCCGTGTCGTGTTTGGAGGGGCAACACGGGAATGATGCGAAACATGCATGTGTGCTACGTTTCGTGGCCTGTCCGTCCTGGAAAGTGAGCGGACCCCAGCGGAAAATCTGCGGACATCGGCAAGCACAGACTGGCCAATCAGCATTTTGCCCATGGAGCATTTTCCCTGGCATGTGCATAATGGTGTGAAGACCTAATTATTCGAAACACCGAATGCCTTTCAATTTCTTCCGGAGGGTTGGGTATATGGTGACAAGCTCATGGTCGACAGTGCGTGCCTTCCAAGTTCGGCCTTTGCCGCCCGTTTCGCGATAGCGCCGTTATGGGCATGCAGACTCATATAGCGCCCTAGGACGGTCACAAGGGGCCCGACAGGACGCCCCCCCCGGGTCAAGAAGGCAGTCGGCGGGCATCTTCACGCTACATCCATGGCTCCTAGCTGCGAAGCCCGAGTCTTGTGTCTTGAAGCTACAAAGTTCGGCGGTAAAGAAACAATGATGAACAAGGCTCCTTAAAAGATACATTTTGAAGCCATTTGAAACATGTCATGGCTTTTTCAACAGCAAAATACAGGGAAACCACCATTTACAAGTTGCAATGTTCAGGTGTATAATGTAAGGATCCCTGATGAACAATGTTTTTAGCAGGCATGCGTCGGCCTTCCCTAAGTTCAAGCCTGGATCAATGCAGAAGGGGTTGGGGCAATTTCTATCGAGCTCACTTCGGGGTGCAAGATGAATTGGCCATAATGAGGTACCTTACGTGGGGATTGTTTATGTCCGTTTTGTGAGTTGTATTAATTTGCCCGAGCGCACATTCCGTTGCTTTCGGAATGACCGCGAAAGGCGCGAAAGGCATTAGGGGCCAAACGTTGCCCCAAAGGCATGTTGTGGGAGTGAAGCTGTGGTCCAACAGTCAGAAGGACCCAACGCCGAATTTGGGACGTGTTGGGGGGAACCCAATTGTGGTTGCGGCTGGTGGTGCTGGGTTTAGGGTAGCTCGAACAGGCGCGCGCCTTCCTGGGAGGCGTGAACTGGTTAGGTTCTGACCTCTGATTTTTCAGCCACGGTTTGAAGGAGGCGTTGCAGAGTTTCACGTTTGCACGTCGCACGGTTTTCTGTGGGGTGTCCATCGCCCCAAGCAGCGTTAGATTTGGGCGGTCAACATTTAACCAGACCGCAGATTTTAGTCCCAGTTACCAAGCTCAGTGCAAGCCATTTTGGGGTTACCACATTTTTGACCAGCCACAAGGCGGTGAGGGCGGGGGGGGGGGGGGTGAGCTTGGTCGGCGTGGAGTCTTGTTGGGGCTGGGATTGTGGCTTGGCGGTGGTATTGTGAAGGGCATGAGGTGCGGTAGTGGGGTACTTAGAACAAGAGTTTGAGATATGGATTTAGTTGTTTAAGTTATTTAGCCCCTGCTATTAGCTACGCATGTGTGGGCCTTTCCCAGCAAAACGCGCTGCCGGAGGTTCGAAGCTCTGCTGTGGAAAAGAACGTGGAGGCCCATTGGGCGCTTCCGCCGCGTGGCGCGAGGGTGTGAGCGGTAGGCGGACTTGTTCCACTGAATTTGTGACCCAAATGTGGAAGATAGCGATACGTCTACTAGGTGCCTCAGCAGTGCCCTTTTACCCTTTTTGTTGGGGGAGTTTTCTTTACTAAAATAGACTACAGACAAAAGGGTACCCTTATTCTAACCTCTCTGCTGGAGGACCTAGTCTACAACTCTCCCTCGTTTCTCCCTGGAAAAAACAATCCATGGGCGACGATGACCAACGGTTGCCTGCGCGGCGCCCCACTTTAAAATGCCAGGGTCGCTGGTGCTCAAAGGGGAGGACAATAGGACACCAACTATTTTTTTTGCTAAGAGTATGTATCATTTGATTGATGGAGGAGGCTTGTTTGTTGTCCCGTGTAACTTGGTTACTTGTTTTGCAAGGGTTCTGATGAAAACACGGGGTCCCCAGAATAGGCGCAGTCAGTGGTAGCCCGTCCTCAGGCCCCAGGACGTTAAAAAAGTGTGTCACGGATTTGGAAGCACATGCGGAGGGAGCTTCAGGAAAGGATGCATTGGGAGGTTTAGGAGTGTATGTCAGGGAAGAGTCATGTACAGACAATTTTCCTGGTAATTGCTGTATTGTTTACTTGGAGAGGACACCTAATATCCCCAGTTTTCTCACGAGAACCGTCGGGGCTGCAAGTAATTTCGGTCCGTGGCTCATAAGTCGTCATGGCAACTGGCTGCCCATGTTCAGCTCGTTCGCTGTGCCCACGATAGAGCTGCGATAGGTTGGGCAAGGTTGCCAGTGGTTACGCTTGGCACGCAGCACCCGCGGTTCAGTTTGCTTTGAGGGCTAGACTCACTGGGCAGAAGCGCGCGTACCATGAGCGATAGATAGGCACATGACTTCTGCAGCGCAGCAAGTTTGCCCCATGTAACTGTTTCTTCACGTGCCGGGCTTCTGACTAACCACGATCATTTGTGCAGCCTGTTTGACCATGCCTGGCATGAGCCTATGTTCTCTTGCCGTGCCCACTTTGGATAATTACGTCTTGGTCGATGCGTTGACATCCGCGTTTTGGACACTGGGATGGCAGGTGTCGAATCTACCCTGCGTCGGATCTTCCACTTCATGGGCATTGAGATTTGCTTGTGGTTTTCGAAGGAAGCAAAAAACACTGTATGATGGTCCCATGTTCAAGCCCCTTCACTAAAGGGTTCTCAAAATAGTGGTCCGGTCCCCTAAAAGAGTTGGTTCCTTTTGTTGTCCCTCAACTACCCAATTTACATCTGGCATTCGACATGTCGCAGCGCAAGCCAGCCTTGCATTTGGCAGGTTTGGTCACCCACGCGAATGATTGGGACGGGCCGCGCCGCCAGAGGGTTCGGACTGGGATCTCTTTTGGCGGGGCCGCCCCACCCCTAAGGACCCGCGGTTTTAAGTTTTGCGGCGCTTCGGGGTGCCGTCCGCATTTAACTTTTGGCAGGATGTTCCAGGAGGTTCCAGTGTGGCAAACGCAGGTCATGTTCGGCAGTTTGTAGGGTTTCAAGGGACGACTTTGCCCATGCACAAGGGGTCATAGATTCTCACACTTGACACAGCTTTGCTGCTTGTGTTGTTTCTGTGACACCTGTTTTTGTTGACGCGCGCTGTGGGGGAATGGCTTGCGGCTTTGTAGCGATTGTTTGTCCTGGATTGCTGGAGCTATTGTTTGATTTGATTGTTTGCTTGCGTGCTTGCTGACTAGCTTGCTGGATGACTGGCTTGCTGGCTGACTGGCCTGCTGGCTAGGGCAACAGGAAGGCTCGATCGCAAGCAATCCATTCTGCCGTTACATGACGGCGGCTGCCACTTATTAGAGAAAGGCTTGTGCTTTCGTGAAACTTCCCCAAACCATTGATACATGTCATTTCGTGTCTATATTATACATACATATGTATATATATATACATATCCTCCGGCATGGTTTGAAGTCAGCTACCAAGTCCTCCAATGGATCCAAGAGCGGTCAACCCAATTTGACGCCATGCAGAGCCCCAACGTGCGAGGGCTGTCGCAGCCTTTGGCGTGCCACAGGGCAGTGCAGAGCACTGAGTTCTTTTCAAGGACGGTGGTGGTATTCAGCGAGGGCTGATGGCAAAGGATGGCCAACTTGTTGCGCAGTGAAAGGTTTGTTTTTTGCAGGCACGTACAGTCACAACAGTCGAGGTTCGAGTAGATTGAGGCAAACCTCCTCCATCCACCAAGAACTGTGTGCTTCTCAGAGAAGATTGAAAACTTTATTCCCCCCCCATGCTTGTTGGTCCTGTTAATGCTCTCGTGGTCCCCTTTCGGCCTCCGCAGGAGCTCCCCGCGGCAGCTGTCGCATGCAATTCCGGCGGCTTCGGCAGCCGCAGCTGGGCAAAAGCAGAGGCAGCAACCCACCCAGTACCCTTCCCATTTTTCTGAGGGGTCCATTAAATTCCGAAATCAATCAACCAAGAAAGGGTGCTGTTGCTTGCCCAGTGTGTGTGTGTGTGTGTTGGGCAAGCGGGCAATGGCACAAAACCAACCCCCTGACAGTTTGGCGAACTAACTTCCAATTGCCTGTAACTGGGGCTTGGATTTCACAACGCTTGGCCTCGAACCAACAACAAGGCCCATCGGACAGGGACCAACTTTCTACTTGGATCAACCTCTCATCTCGTCGGAAGGCTTGCTAGCCTGAGGTTGTCCTTAGGGAAACAAAGGCAGATAAGACGTGAATGGTCTGAGAAACCGGATGTGTTGTTTTTTGTTGCCCCGGGAAGCCACCTTGTGGCAGCCCATCTTGGTTTAGAGGTTCAACTTGGAGAGCCAATGTTGACGTGGATGACAGTGGGCTTTTGGAAGGTGGTGGTGGATCAGAGCTGGTGCAACCCCAAGCGATCAGTCAAGGCCAAACCTCGAAGCTGACATGAACCTATGCGTTCTATTTGTGTACGTGACATGCACCCCAAAAACCCAATGAGTTGTTGTCCCTGCGTGGCTCGTTGATGATCCCTTCAAACACTTCCATGTGTTCAAGGATGTGCTTTATTTTCCCCTATTGGTTTGAAAGGGAATCTATCAAACCTGGGAATATTGTGTTAGTTCCAGGGGACTGACTCAAGCAAATGGATGAGCATAAGCCTGCCACATATGATGAGTGAAGTTGCAACTGAGCCTGCATTTTTTTTGCTTGACACGCCTTCCAAAGGCTTTGTCTCCAAGTTGAACTTCCAACAAAGATGGGCTGTCTTGCTGGTTCTCAGAAGGGAAGTTGGAATGAGCCCCATAAGCAATCACAGTCTCCTTTCTGGTTCGACTTTTCTTGCTGGTTCGACAGGCAGGGAATGAGAAATCGAATGACCCCTATAAGAAATCATGGTTTCCTCTCAGGGAATCCCGAAACGGTTCATTTCCAAAACGCAGCCTCGGTCATCGCCCTATAGCCACGTGAGGTGCTTGCCGCGGCCGGATGCCGGCCAAAAGCCTTGAGCGGCTCGCGCACGCAGCGGCGGCAGGCGGCGAGGACGACGGGTTTGACGGACCTGGCAGAGCTGAACCGAAGCCAACAAGAGGCGACCGGGAGAGAGGATCAGCGGCCAGGATTGATCGAATGTTGGGCGGAGAATGTGGGAATTGACTGGGACTCCGGACTGGATTTTTCGGGCAACATCGCTCCCTGAATCTGAAAGGTGTTTAAATCCGGTGTTGACATAATGATGTAATTGTGTCAAATTCTTGGGAAGTTCGAAGATGTCCGGCGTTGCCGTCTATCTCGAGAATCGACCCCGACATCCATGCCTACAAGGGCTACAAAGGATGGCATGCGTTCGCTTGTCCAGTGGCAGAGAGGTGATGACAGAGCAGGATTTTGCTCGCTGGTGGGAGGAGCAGCACGATGACCGTGAGCGTGGCACGTCCTTTTGCGACGCGCTGAGGCGGGAGGTAGCGAAGCGACTGCCGCTTCGCAATTTCCGGCGGCTGAGCTTGGCGATCGGTCATCGCTTGCTTGGGCAGGACAGTCTCTGGAGCGACGCGGAACCCATTGTGGCAGTTGTGCGGCCATTTGTGCCGGCCGGTGAAGGGAAAGGCGATGCGTTTCCTTGTCCTGAGCTGTTTCAGTCAGCGCGGCAAGGGGAAGTTGAGGGGGTGGTGCGGCTTTTGGAGGAGCCGCGAGACCCGGATGTGGAATACCAATGTAAGAAGCGCAAGATCGCGGAAGCCTTCGAAACTGGGCAGTGGCAGAAAGTGATGCTTTTGGATGAGGCCACTGGGCGGATGCCTGTGCACTGCGCAAGCATTCATGGCCATGCACACGTCGTGAAGTGCTTGGTGGAAGCCGGTGCTGACAAGGACCTGGGCGACCGGGAAGGGTGTACTCCGTTGCACTTTGCCGCCCTCAAGAATCGTCAGAAAGTTGCAGATTACTTGTTGAGTGCCAGGGCTCACGTTGACAAGTGCAACAACCAGAGTTTGACGCCGTTGCATGTAGCTGCACAGAGTGGTAACCGTGGAATCATGCAATGCTTGTTGAAGGCCGGTGCCAACAAGGACAAAGAAGATAGTCGTGGATTCACAGCCTTGCACTTTGCTGCTGAGATGGGTCATCGGAAACTTGTCCAGTGCCTGCTGAGGGCTGGAGCCAATTGCAAGGGACAGGGCCATGTTGAACAACTGGAATGTGTGGATTCCAGTGCGGAACCAACCACGCGGCAGGGTATCACCCCGCTACATGTCACTACCCCGCTACATGTTGCTGCCTGCAATGGCAACCTGAAGATTGTGCAATGCTTGTTGGAAGCCGGCGCTGAAAGACTCGTAGGAGACGAGGATGGGCTTACTCCGCTACATGCAGCTGTCAGGAATGGGCACTTGAACGTTGTGCAACGCTTGTTGGAAGAAGACGGCGCTGACAAGAACCGTGGAGGCAAGAATAGGTTTACGCCACTACATGCTGCCGCCAGAAATGGGCGCTTGAACGTTGTGCAATGTTTGCTGGATGCCGGCGTTGACAAAAACCTTGGAGACAAGAATGGGGTTGTGCCGCTACACGCTGCTGCCAGGCTTGGCCATTTGGGTGTTGTGCAATGCTTGTTGCAAGCCCGCGCATACAAGAACTGTGGAGACAGGAATGGGTCCACGCCACTACATGCTGCTGCAGGGAATGGCTATGTCCATGTTGTGCGAAGCTTGTTGGAAGCCGGTGCGGACAAGAACCGTAGAGACAAAAACGGGTGTACACCAATACATGCTGCTGCCAACAAGGACCAGGTGGATGTTGTGCAATGCTTGTTGGAAGCCGGCGCTGACGAGAACCTTGGAGACAAGGATGGGCTTTTGCCGCTGGATGCTGCTGTCAGAAATGGGGATCTGGATGTACAGCAATGCTTGTCGGAAGCTGTGCTGTAGCTGGGAAGTACTTGAGTGACCACAATCTGTCACGAGTCAAGCGAATTGTGCATGTGGTTTGAGGATGGTTGGAGTGCTGCAAAGACCGGCGCATTCATGAAAGCGTGACTACCTGGCTGGCTTTTAGGTGGGAGCAAGCGAAGGGGGCAGGGTATCTGTACCACGAGTCAACGAGGAAATGAGCAAACAGCGGTTGCCAGGCACGGCCTAGCTGCAGAAATGTGTCTATTGTGTTGTTTTGCTTGTGAGACGGCCAACCAATAAGAGCGCGAGTTGAATTCGTCATTGAGTCATCCGACTCTTGTGTTCTTCTGGCTGCTTGAAGGCTTCCACAGGTTCCAAAAAGTGTCCACGGGTTTCTTGCGGGTTGTCTGCAGCTTCTTGACTAATCACAAGTTGCTTACAATCCTGAGACTTCGGTCCTTTCTGATTGGACCAGTGGGATTCGACCATTTTAGACACAGTGATGGCCCCCTCAATTGGACAGCCTGACTCACTGCTGATCGTTCACTCATACTCATGACGAAACGTTGTATTTTGTTTTAAGCACCCCAGAACCCTTTTCTAACTTATTTAGGGCCCTTATAGTGTTCCCGATCTTTTCTCCTCCTTTCGTGGTTTTCCAAACACGGGGCCAGCCACCTCAGCCTCGTGAGGCGGTGACGGTGGGCTTGGGCCCAGTGCTGGTGCTGGCGGGGGCGGGCAGCGGCAAGACGCTGACGCTGGTGAAGCGCCTGGAGTACCTCCTGGCGAGCCAAGTGGCGCCCTCCAAGGTGGGGCTCTGTTGTTCAGCGGAACCCTGCTGCCCGTGTTTTTTTTTTCTTTTCGGTGGCCCCACTAAAAAATAGAGCTCTTCCCCACTAAGATTGGTTCCTTCTTTCCAGGGTCACTGAACTGAGGGGGTCTGGGGTCGTCCGTGTGGGTGGGAGGGGTGCGTGGCTGGTGGGCTGGGTGCGTGGGGGCAGGATGGCGAGCTCGCGGATCGGGGGTGAAACAGGCGGAAGCCATGGTAAAGATGCTTTCCTTGAGGATCCAATTCTTGTTTCAGATGTTTGTGGAAAACAGATTTTCTGTGATGCCAAGGCACCCCCCTGTAAAGCAACAACATCATGGGGACGGAAAACCCAGGTTCGTATCACAAAAACCGTTTTTCCCCGCAAGCATGTCAGCGTGTTTGTTTGTGTGTGTGTGTGGTGGGCGGCCGGGCGGGTGGGTGGGTGTCTAGTGCGCTTGTTACTGCTTTTTGAGGGAACTCTTTTCAGTGGTCCCGGTTAAAGGGTCGTTTGCTCTACGGGTGGTGTTTTTAGGTTGAAGTTGTGACCAAGGCTCCCAGCCAAAGGGTGGGTCATAACCGTGCTTACTGAGCACTTCTACACCGGATGTATTCAGCGCCCTTATCAACGCCAAACTTGTCAACCAAACAGGGAAGCAACCAGACCACCCTAGGAGACGCCAAAGCCGAGGGGTGTCTACAAAGGGCAAGAACATGCTTTGCTTCCCTTTGCTTTGCGTTCAAAAACCAACCAGTGCTTCCCAAAAACATGCGGGCGTGTCATTTTTAGGGGACCCCCCCAAAGAATCCTTGAGTTTTAACTTAGCCACCAAAAGCACCCCCGAAACAAAGCCATGTGCCTTTGACTCGAAGATCTCCAGGTGGTGCTCCTCACTTTCACTAAGAAGGCTGCCGAGGAGATGAAGCGCCGAGCGGGGAAGCTGGCGCTTTGGCGGCGTTTATCATTGGGGGAGAGGAGGGGGCCCCCTCAGATGTCTTCCATTGGCTGAAATGATTTGTTTGTTTAATTTTCCCCCGTTGGTTTTAAAGGGAATCTATCACTACTGGACATGTGCTTTGATTTTTTTTCCAGGGGTCTTAAGCAAATGGAGGATGTTAGATCAGATGTTGGCCAGGTCCCCCAGCTAGGTGCCCTTTATCACCCCTTTTTTTGGTTGAGAGGGTTCCCCTACTAAAATAGACAAAGAAAAATGTGGGTACCCTTAGTCTAACCTCTCTACTGGAGGACCTAGGTTGCCAACCCCACTTTGAAATTGGTGGATACTTCGTTTGGGGCCACGTGTATGAACTCCGAGACTTTTAGGGTTTACATATATTGACTCTTGTATACGCCCAACATGTACACCCCTCCCCCCCAAGACCCCGTGAGGTAAGGATTCTTCATTGCGGATCACCAGGAGGGTCCCTCGGATCTGTCGGAACCTGAACGGATTTGGGATTGCTTGGGGTCTACATCTGGGAGGGAAGCGGACGAACAACTTGTACGGCGCCAAGGGCGGAGTTTTCAACCGAGACACTTCCTTTCCCTGTGTGGCATCTGATTTCTTTGCTGGGCCCACCAGGCAACCCCCAAAAAGTTCCCCTTTTTCTGCCGGCGTAGGGAAAGGAGCCTCAGAACAACGTCGCTTTTGGGCGAACCATGTTAGCCAAGGGAGTCTACTGCGCCTAGACTGGTGTATGTCAAAACAGCTGTTTTCACCCACAAAAAGGCGGTGTTCCTTTTGGGTTTCCTCTAAACCAAGCTGAACAGCGTCGGACTTTGCCGCAGGTTGGAGCAGCTGCGCATCGCGTGCGGGGCGGGACCTTTCACTCCTTTTGCCTGAAGGACGCTCGACCGCTTCCTTTTGGGCAAGGTTCAAACGGAGAATGCGCTTCCGTCCGAGGCCGTCCGAGGGGTAGGACTTCATAGTTCAGTGCCTGGCTCATGGGGTGTGCAAGATGGTTTTCCCAAGGATTGTTGCCGGGGTCGACCTTTGCAGGATTTGGGGCAGGGGAAACACCTCCGTATCCTGCATTTGATTGGGTCGTCTTAGCTTCCGCGTAGTTCAACATGGAACCCGAACAGGGGATTTCCGAAAACAGGACTCCCTCCCCCCCAAGAAAAACGGCAAGTTTATGAAGTGGTGTGTTTTCGTTGGTTTCCCTTTCAAGCCAACCAACAACTTGGATTCCCTGAAAAGACAAAACCCACATGAGCCACAATCAAAACCCGGGGATTGATGAAGGTTAGTAAGGGACGATCCCAAACGTAAATAGCTGCGGAATTCCGCCTTCTTAATTCTTGAAGCATGGTTCTGGGTGAGCCATGTCTGTACCGGGTTTTGATCATGACTCACATGACGTGGTTTTGAAATGGTGTGTTTCCAAAGGGGTTTCCCTTCAAGCCAACCAACAACTTGGATTTCCTGAAAAAAACAAACCCACATGACGTTGTTTTGGGTTTCGTGCGTTGCAGAATTTCAGCGCCACCTCACCACCCCAGCGCTTGGTCGAGCCAGGAGCTTCGGCAAATACGTGCCAGAGATGGTGCACCGAGCCCAGTGGCTCCTCTGCCGCATGGGGCTGACCTGAGGGCCTTGTAGCTTTTCTTCACTTGGTGGCTCCCAGCCATCCGGTTCCTTAGCTGAGCTGTTTAGTGTTTAGTGGGGTTTTCCATGTAGCACTAAAAGTTAAACTTTTAGCGGGGGATCTGAGGACGGACTAGTTCATAGGTATGATAGATGTCTTCGTTTTTGGATGGTTTTGGGATAGCAGTTGTTGTTTTTTGTTTGGGGGGCAGTTTCCCATATTTTGAGACAGCCCTATATGACTATATGTTCACCTCAAACATCCCCCCAAAAGGACAGTCGATAAGGAACAATTGGCCCTTGGTGATGTTAGAATCCACAGGGGAACAGAATGGGTGTGTTTTTTTTTTTTCTGGCACCCTTGTCACCTCATTTAAAGTTCAATTGGACCACAGAAAAGTCCACTTGGAGGGACCCCTATATTGACACACACCCATTTGTGTAAAGGCCCAGAAAGTTAGAACTGGTTTTGGCCAGTCAATTGGGCTAGCTTGGTTCCCGCTCCCCGCGGGGCGGGTCCAAGCTATTTTGCGCGAACAGTGGGGTTCGGTGGTGTGCTTCCTGTTGCCAGCTTTCTTGGAGGTGTCCCAATGAGAACCAACTCTAACTACCAAAAACGAACGGCCTTTTTGCCCATGGCTACTGGTTTTTGGGGAGTTTGTTAAGTACTGATTGCCATTGAAGACCTTGCGGTCATCGCCTTCTCCATGTCGCCGGTTGATGGCGACGGAGGTAAATCTTGACAAATCAATCCACAGGTTCGTGGGTGTTTTGCTTTCGGCTTCCCAACTTGGGTTTTCTGCTGTTGGTTTCCCTGGCCAAGCAAAAAAACGGGCATGGCTATGGTCAAAATTAAATCACCAGGAGACCGCAGGATTTAGTCCATGTGTCCACTTACCAGTGTTCGATTTTGGGCACATATGTTTGACAGGTCCTGGACGAAAGCGACGCGCGTGACCTGCTGCGCTCCATCCTTGCAGACAATGGGCTGCTGGGGAAGGCGCTGAAGTTTCCCAAGCCCAGGCAGCTGCAGAAGTGGTTTTCTACCTGCGCCTCTCGGCGAGTCGCTGAGTCCTGACCTCGTTGTTTCTGCTTCTTGTTTCGGTGTTTGGATTGGGCTTTGCCTTTCAAGTCAACCGGTGCGTGAAGAACCATTGTGCAATGGGAGCTAGCAGAAACCATGCTCAGAACGCACCTGCCTGGCAAGTGAAGCATGTTTTGTTTTGTTGGGTGGGGCAAGGATTCTAGAAAAGACGGGCCCATTCATTCCCACACAGTTGTGTTCGCATAGGTCCCGTCTTACCCTAATTTTGTAAGGATCCCGATTCAGGGTTGGTCAGCTCAGCTGACTGCATCGCACTGAAAGGGACCAGACTTGTCAGGTTCCCCTTCTTCTTACTCCCTGAGTTCTGGATTTTTTGTCACTTTTTGGGGTTGGACCATTTTAGTGGTAGACAAAAAGCGTCGACGTTCTTTGGCCAACCCACTCAAGCAGTGAGTCTTTGGGATTCGCGGTTTGGATGGGTTCGGTGATTTGAACTCCTGTTGAAAAGGAAGGTACCCACCGCGCCAAACCACCGGTTGGTGGGATTGATGGCAAGGTGAGTGTTGGGATTGGCTCAAGGAAAGCCTTCTATTCGGGTGTCACGAGGGTCCCAGTGAAGTCTTTTTTTTTCCGAAGCGAAGGTCAACACCGGAGTTCGGCTTCAAACACTTCTGCTCCTGGGCCGCGCTCAATTTGAAACGGGAAGCTCACTACACTCCTGACGAACACGGAAGCTCTCAGAACACTCCCTTTGTAAATGGATCCAAGTCTTTCAAAGGGGTTCTGCTTCCATGTTAGTCTGGCGGAGTGTATCAATCCAATACTAAGCCACAAGAGGGGCAGCGTTCCGATCCTTACCTAGAATCTCCATGACCCCTAGAAAAAGGGGTCATGACCCCTTGATTTTGGGCAATGACCAACCATTTTTTAAGGGTCATGGAGAGTCTAGGTACACATAAAATTGGCCTTGAATCAGTAGGTCAACGAATCTGGGCAAATTGCAACGAGCTCACCGGAGGGTAAAATGAACGAACACCAGCGACGAAGGTTCCTGACATGGGTTTGTGAATAATCTAGCTGTGGGCTGCTTATCGCGATCCCAGATGAAACATCATGACTGCCTGCATGAAAAGATGTGAAAAGAAAAGGCGCTTTTGCTTTTCAAGAGGTGCCGAAGCGGTCAATATCACCTGAGGGTGATCCAGCCTTCAGGTTCTGGCCAAGCTTGGTTTTGAAACCTGCCCATGCGGAAACAGCGTAAGCCTCGGGGATCCAGGTTTCCTTTTGGCTTGCCTGATGCCCAAATTGTGAGAAACCCCTACAGCCAAGCTCAGGGAATCGCCCAGAGAGTTGGGAATGCGTTTCGAATTGAATTTCCGTAAAGGAAGCCGGGGATGAGCTTTGCTCGGGGTCATTTCCTCAGCCATCTCAAACACCCTACCCAGAGGCTCGTGGGGCGTTCAGTGGAAGACCCGACCCCTCCAAAGACACCCCGGAGGTGTTTGGGGGTCTCAAAACCTGGCTGTTTGAGCCCCAAATACATCGGGAGCCTCTGGGTAAGAAGATCTCGAACCTTGCCTGGCACCTGCCTTGGATTTTTTTTTCGCTCAGGCTCGACTTCGGCTTGCATGTGGACAGGCTGGATTCAGTGCTCAAGGTGCAGCAGGAGTACGAGGAGCGAAAGCAGGGCATGCAGCTCTTGGACTTCGATGACTTGCCCTTTGGCCATTTTCCGTTCCCGGAAAATTTGGGTTGGATCTTTTTCTTTTTTTTTAGGTGCTTTCCACAAAGCCCCCAAAAAGTTGAACTTTTTGCAGGGGGGTGAACAGCGACCAAGTGTTTGTCCCGGAAAAATCACATCCCAAAAACCTCCAGTTCCCTCAAACGCTCCTTCCAGGACCCCCCACTGGCAAGTAGTCTGTGGAATGACCTCCCAATGGCTGTTTTGGTTTTTTTTTGCCAGCCGTTGGGGGGGTCCTGGTTGTGTTTGTTTCATTTTTTCGGGCATGTCCCAAGAAAATAAGCTCAGGTGATATTCCCAACAGCACGCGGTGCTCTTTTTAGTGCTCGCACCACCCTTCGCAGAACCTCGTGGAACCGTGGTGGAACCCTCGTGGAACCTTATCTCAGGGCCGCCCCGAACCACCCCGGAGCCTCATTATCCTGGCTGAGACCCCAAAGCTTTCAGCTGTTGGGGAAAAACAATTGCCAACCAGAAGGTGACCATCCCCTCGTGGCCCCAAGCGTGAAGCATCCTGGATTGCTATTCCCTAGGGTTCAACCCCCATTGAAAAGAAAGGTTGACCCAATTTGGATGATGACAATCCTTAGGGAAACAATGTGGGTTACATGAACCCCCATTGTGTTAATGGTGCTTTGAACGCCAGGGTATGGTCATTGCGGTCTCTCATTAAAACTGCGGCGGCAGTCAGCTGAGCGACTCTTGTACAGCTCTGGTGCAGCGTTGATCATGGCAACAACATTCTAGGGGTTGATTCCCCATTCTTTTCAACCACAGTTCTTTTGAAAAACCGGCTGTTCCCCTGGGTTTTTGCTGGTTCCCCTGGGATTTTGCTGGTTTCTTGAAAAGAAGGATCCCCGGAAAGAACGGGGAAGGTACCCCTAGAAACATGGCACGGGCTTTGCTGTGCGATTCAGAGGGCGAAGCGCCCGCAAGCACATTGGCAAATACTGTGGATGGTTGCGAAATCCGCTTCTCGCATCACTTGGAGCTCAGCCTTCTTTTTTTGCAGTTACAGGGGAATCGATTCATATTCATTTCAGGTTTTGCTAGGTTGTGCAGGATTTCGTCCATCCACAGTAGGGATGTCTGCAAGCATCTGGCGTGTTCACAGCTCTCTTATGTTCTTTTTTTCATCGGATTGCTTCTAGGGAGAAGTTCTGCAAGCAATGGCAACGCGTAGAATAGCAGCAATGACGCAGGGTTACTCACTTGATTTCAGCCTGGGATCCCGCGTACGGTTCTGGGCAATCTGCGTTCGGCCTTTCTGAAGACCTCACAAATGCATCCTGGTTTCCGGCTTCCATTGAAGCACCTTCCATTTACCTGTGTAGCAGGTAACCAAGCGAACCACCCTTTGGAAAGGAGGAGAATTGCTGGTTGCGTACTAATAGTGGTGACCGGGATCCACTGAAAACCTGAAAAAAGCTTCACTGGGTTCAAGAGGTCAATAGCTGAGGTCGATCTGGGCGTGTCTTTTTTAAGGTCAAGCCCCCTTCCAAAATGGCTTCAGTGTGCATCTCTAGAACCCGAAAACTCCCAAAATGAATTTAAGACCACAAAGCAACTTCCACAATCCGGGTTTCTTTGGTGGTTTCCCAAAAAAATGCCGCAAAAGAAAGGTAGCCTCAAGAAAAGACAAAAACCACCGCCACCTCTGCCGATGTCTTTCGTGCGCTGGAGGCTTTGGCACTTGGACCAGGCGCTGGAGGATGAGGAGACCCGAGAACTCCTGGCGCGGCGCTGCGAGCACGCGGCTCGGGGACACGCTCTCGACTTCCGGTGAACTATTTTAGTGGGGATTGGGATGTTCACTGGGGGTACGAACATTGGTTTCGAATACACCCATTTTAGAGAACCTATTTTAGTGGTTGGATTGGGATATGGGCCTACGGGATTTGGATTTTGATCCATGGCCATATGGGTATGGGTCAAAATTAAACCACCAGGATAGGGACCGCAGGTTTTCGTCCATGTTTCCATTTACCAGGGCTCCATTTCGGGTACCTAGTTTTGACTCACAGCCATTTTGCGCAACGAATCGGTGTCACACAGTAATTTGCTTTTCGTTGAAAAGTGACTCTTGTGGGGTCATCTTTTTTTCTTCGTTGGATGGTGGTGACTATTGTGGGGTTTTACTGACCATGTGAATTCAGCATGACACATAACTCGCTGGGCAGGGTGAGAAAGGGAATGAGTGGGGAGTTTCTTTCAAAATCAGCTACTGCAGAGGGGTTGGTGCCTGTTTTTTCCCATGCACGCTAGTTGTTTCCTTTTCCTGCTGGGTCTTCTTTAGAAAAAGGCGGGGCTTCAACGCAGAACTCTTCAAAGGTTGGTAGGTGCGGCCCGGTTTTTGTACGACACACCTGTTTGCCAATCAAAAGGCAGCATGGAGGTCCCAATGTCAAATCAGGTGGCAGGGTGGAGCCCCTGGTTTAAAGAGCCGGCTAGGCACCTTTGAAGCGAGGGTTAAGCATGTTGGGTATATGTCAAAAAGTCGGGGTGCCCCACAAAAAGGGTGGGTGTTCTTTTTTGCATTAGGGCCTTGGCCCAACCGTGGTGTGCTTCTTGCATTTCCAATCGAATGTGGTCATCAAGTGGGTGAATTGTCGAGGTGATGTCTAAAGAGACATCTGGGACGGAACTTTGTGACTCAATCGCCGCGTGAGGAAAAGTTTGGTAAAGAGCGGATTGTGTGAATCTGCAAAGACGGGGTGTGAACTGCTGAATCTTGTTCCAATGTGAAGCTTCCAGTTGCAGACTTTTCTGTTCGACTTCCTTGGGGCATGGGACCCAAGTCTTGAAGGCAAAAAGGTTGGGACCTGGGTGTTTTCGAGTTACCCTTTTCACCTTTCAGGGAACCAAGAGGATGTTGGGAAATCCCATTTCATATCCCGGGACTGAACAATATGTCTCAAAATCGGGGGACCCCCAAATTTGTCGGTCTTCTCTTTAGTCTCCCTTTGAAAACCACCCCCGAGACAGGTACCACGCACCCATATATCCATGGAACAAAGGACCTCCGCATGCGTCCTGTTTATCATGGAATTCCATGCGGCAGCTAGCTGTTGTGATCAATTAAACATCCAGGTTTTGAGACCCCCAAACACCACAGGGTTTCCAATGGAGGGTCTGGGTCTTCTGTTGAAAGCCCCGGGAGCCGCTGGAAGAATGGGATCGGCCTGGCCGCCAAAAAAATACCGTCGGAGTTGTTTGGGAAGAGCTTGGCCTTGAGAGGTGCTGGTGGATGAGTACCAGGACACCAATCACCTGCAGGCGTGGTCTTGTCATTGGCTAGGTCCCCCAGCTAGGTGCCCTTTTACCGTTTCTATTTTTGGGTAGGGTTCCCCTACTAAAGTAGACCGCGACAAAAGTTGGTACCCTTATTCTAACCTCTCTACTGGAGGACCTAGTTGCTGAATCGTCACTTTTTTCCCCACCCGACAGGAAGGGGTTGTTAGATTTTATGTTGGAATCCGCGTTTGCGATGCTTCTACACCACGCCCCCACCCAGTATCCCGCCAGAGCAGCTCGCCAGTGGATCCCGCCGAGTATCCCGCCAGAGCTCGCCAGATCCCGCCGAGTTTCCCGCCAGAGCTGCTCGCCAGTGGATCCCGCCCAGTATCCCGCCAGAGCGGCTCGCCAGTGCATCCCGCCGAGTATCCCGCCAGAGCGGCTCGCCAGTGGATCCCGCCGAGTATCCCGCCAGAGTAGCTCGCCAGTGGGTCCCGCCGAGTATCCCGCCAGCGGCTCGGCAGTGGATCCCGCCGAGTATCCCGCCAGAGCTGTTCGCCAGCGGATCCCGCCGAGTGTCCCGCCAGAGCGGCTCGCCAGTGGATCCCGCCGAGTATCCCACTAGAGCAGCCCGCCAGTGGATCCCGACTAGTATCCCGCTGAGTATCCCAGAGTAGCTCGCCAGCGCATCCCGAGTATCCCACCAGAGCAGCCCGCCAGTGGATCCCGCCGAGTGTCCCGCTGAGTATCACAGAGTAGCTCGCCAGTGGGTCCCGCCGAGTGCTCACCAGTGGATCTCGCCGAGTATCCCACGAGAGCAGCCCCGCCGAGCATCCCGCTGAGTATCCCAGAGTAGCTCGCCAGCCTGAGTATCCCTTACCGGGATTCTGCTGAGCATCCGGCCACTATCGAGCCGGAGCGTCTTGCCAGCATTCGCCAGTGGATCCCACCCGCCCGCCAGTCTGGTGCCTTCGTGTTTCGAGTGTGCCCTGAGGCTCGGAAAGTGTGATGCCTTTGTCTTGCTTTTGGCTGCGAATAAGCAACTTCGCTGAATCCCCCGGCAGGTTTCTTTTTGGAAGGGGCTTGGCTTTTGGATCGGCTCGCAGACAAGTGGAGATTGACACACAGACAGGTGGATAAGGCTCTCAATGCAAAGCTTGTTGAGCAGTCATAGGCCCCAAGCCACTCTAAAGCCATGCTTGAATTCACGCAACCACGTTCACGGTCGTAAGCTCGTGAGTGTGGAGGGTGGGGATTGCTCGAAGCGAAGCAATCGATGTGAAGTTTGGATCGAGTCCTTTTGCCCGGAGCTATCGGGGATGTTTCAGCACTTTGTGGCTTGTTGTTCTTTTTGCGCATTCACATTGCATGTGTAATTTGAAGCATCATCGTTCTGTCAGAAGTCTTTGGAACAGAGACTTGCAGTGCGAATGTGATCACAGAACCGTAGGCTCTGGAGGACCCCGTTTTTTGTTGTTTTTTCTTTTCTCAGGGGCACCCTTCCAAACTCCCCCATTGGGGGGTGTCTACGGCTGATTCTCACACGGACTGTTGTAGCCGTACTCCTGTTGCGGTCCTCCCATACATGCCCCCCTTCATTGCAGCAGACCAACATGGCTGTGGGTGAAAAATATGTACCCAAAGTGGAATCCTGGTAAATGGAAATATGCACTGAAACCTGCGGTCCAATTCCTGGTGGTTTAACTTTGCCCCATACCCACATGTACCTTCCTCCCAACATAGAACTTGAGGCAAGGGATCTGCAATATTCCTATGAAGAGGGCCTCCGGCAGGTTCCACGTGGGTGGGTTTGTGGCTTGGTGGTTCTTTACCAGTGGGCAAGCTTAGCTTAGACCAGGGTGGCCTCCTTGGGAAAACCAAAAGGAGGTTGTTTCAACATCAGTGGTTTGTACACTGAGCAAACTCCCTACTCCGAATCCTCGCTTTCTTTAGGGTTTGAAAACTGTTTTTTCATGGCAGGGGTTGACATCATACCCTATAAACTAGACCACGGTTGGCCCGAAAGCAGAACATCGCAAGCGAGGTCGGCCCAACGCTGCAGGATGCGTTCTTTTTCCCTACACGAAGCATTCGTGAAGCAAGCGCGAGACAGCACCAGGCAAGGTGCTCTGCGCAAACTGGTCGGTGCAAGTTGGTCTGCGCAAGTTGCTCTACGCAAGTTGCACTGTGCAAGTTGCTCTGCGCAAGTTGCTCCGCGCAAGTTGCTCCGGCAAGTTGGTCCCTGCAAGTGGCTCCCTGCAAGTTGCTCTGTGCAAATTGCGCTCCCTGCAAGTTGCTCTGTGCAAGCTGCTCTGTGCAAGTTGCTCTGTGCAAGTTGCTCTGCGTAAGTTGCTCTGCGCAAGTTGCTCTAGGCAAGGCGCTCTCCGCAAACTGGTCGGTGCAAGTTGGTCTGCGCAAGTTGCTCTGTGCAACTTGCTCTGCGCAAGTTGCTCTGCGCAAGTTGCTTTAAAATGCAAGTTGCATCTTGCGACGCCCGCCCGCGGACCAGGGAGGAATCGAACCCGCGACCCGCCGGTTCCGGGAGCAGGCGCGCGAACCACGAGACAACTCCCGAAGACCAGTTCGAACAACAAAAGTCGCACCCTCGAGTTTTTGCACCTCCACCACGCCGATTCCCGCAGAGGGTTGCGCGAGCACCGCAGAAATCGCAAAAAACCTCGAGTTTTTGCACCTCGACCACGCCGATCCCCGCAGAGGGTCGCGCGAGCACCGCAGAAATCGCAAAAAACCTCGAGTTTTTGCACCTCGACCACGCCGATCCCCGCAGAGGGTCGCGCGGGAACTTTAGAAATCGCAAAAAACCATGGGTTTTTGCACCTCGACCACGCCGATCCCCGCAGAGGGTCGCGCGAGCAGGTTAGAAATCGCAAAAAACCATGGGTTTTTGCACCTCGACCACGCCGATCCCCGCAGAGGGTCGCGCGGGAACTTTAGAAATCGCAAAAAACCATGGGTTTTTGCACCTCGACCACGCCGATCCCCGCAGAGGGTCGATTTTCGTGTAGTGTCGTCGGCACTACCCCGCCGCCCTAAGAAGAGATTTTAACTCCTCGCAAGTCAATTGCACTTGACTCCTTGCACTTGCAACTTGCACTTGACTCCTTGCTTGTTTCAAGGAGTCATTGCAAGGAGTCATTGCAAGGAGTCATTGCAAGGAGTCATTGCAAGGAGCCATTGCAAGGAGTCATTGCAAGGAGTCATTGCAAGGAGTCATTGCAAGGAGTCATTGCAAGGAGTCATTGCAAGGAGTCATTGCAAGGAGTCATTGCAAGGAGTCATTGCAAGGAGTCATTGCAAGGAGTCATGAGAGCCATTGCAAGTTGCAAGGAGCCAAGTGCATGGAGTCAAGTGCAAGTCGCAAGTGCACGGAGTTAAGTGCAAGTTGCAAGTGCAAGGGGCCAAGTGCAAGGAGCCAAGTGCAAGGAGCCAAGTGCAAGGAGCCAAGTGCATGGAGTCAAGTGCAAGTTGCAAGTGCATGGAGTCAAGTGCAAGTTGCAAGTGCATGGAGTCAAGTGCAAGTTGCAATTGCAAGGAGTCAAGTGCAAGTTGCAATCCTTGCCATGACTCCTTGCAATGACTCCTTGCAATGACTCCTTGCAATGACTCCTTGCAATGACTCCTTGCAATGACTCCTTGCAATGACTCCTTGCAATGACTCCTTGCAATGACTCCTTGCAATGACTCCTTGCAATGACTCCTTGCAATGACTCCTTGCAATGACTCCTTGCAAATGACTCCTTGCAATGACTCCTTGCAATGACTCCTTGCAATGACTCCTTGCAATGACTCCTTGCAATGACTCCTTGCAATGACTCCTTGCAATGACTTTCATGATGATGATTCCTTGCAATGACACCTTGTAATGACTCTCATGAGAACAACTCAAGTGAACCCAGCGGAAGAACCCTTCGCCATGCTTTCGGGAACATCAAAAACAAAAGCGTCAAACACCGACTACGACCAAGTCGAGACACCGGCGTCGGCGAAGCCGCAGAACTGCTCGGCTCCTGGCAACAATCAGCACAGCAAAACAAACACCAGCAAAACTCTCCAGATTTCGATCCTGGCCTGTGGGCACAGCTTCTCCACGACAGCGGCAGCTAGGTCTGCCTTGGTCACGTTGCTGCCTGCGACCCATTGGCGCACATCCAGCTGTCGGGCGAGTGCGCGAAGTTGGGGTTGGGCTTTGGCCGCCACCTCTTGCTGCAGCCACGCTTTGCCATGCTGGGCCGCGCCAGCCTGAAGCCTAGCTACTTCGAGCTCCATGACTTCTGTTTGAGCCAAATCTCGATGATCATCCGCAAGATGCCACATAACAACCAGCCGTGTGCGCCATGCCCGTAAATAAGCCGTGTGCGCCATGCTCCCCGCAACTTCTTTCATGACGAGAACTCCTTGCGTCAAATACAAGTGAGTGGCCTGAAAGCATAACTCCCCACGATGTGCGGTAAACTTGTTTAACCCCGGCCTGGCACATGCGCAAGTTGCTCTGCGCAAGTTGCTTTGCGCAAGTTGCTCTGTGCGAGTTGCAGTGTGTGCAAGTTGGCGCGAGACAGCACCAGGCAAGGTGCTCTGCGCAAACTGGTCGGTGCAAGTTGGTCTGCGCAAGTTGCTCTACGCAAGTTGCACTGTGCAAGTTGCTCTGCGCAAGTTGCTCCGCGCAAGTTGCTCCGGCAAGTTGGTCCCTGCAAGTGGCTCCCTGCAAGTTGCTCTGTGCAAATTGCGCTCCCTGCAAGTTGCTCTGTGCAAGCTGCTCTGTGCAAGTTGCTCTGTGCAAGTTGCTCTGCGTAAGTTGCTCTGCGCAAGTTGCTCTAGGCAAGGCGCTCTGCGCAAACTGGTCGGTGCAAGTTGGTCTGCGCAAGTTGCTCTGTGCAACTTGCTCTGCGCAAGTTGCTCTGCGCAAGTTGCTTTAAAATGCAAGTTGCATCTTGCGACGCCCGCCCGCGGACCAGGGAGGAATCGAACCCGCGACCCGCCGGTTCCGGGAGCAGGCGCTCGAACCACGAGACAACTCCCGAGGACCAGTTCGAACCACAAATGTAAGAATAAATATAAAACAAACAAAAGTCGCAAAAACCTACGAAGAGGTTTGCACCTCGTGGGGAGGAACCCAAGACGCCGATCCCCGCAGAGTGTCGCGCGGGAAAGTTTAGAAATCGCAAAAAATAAAAAAAAAACAAAAAAAAAAAAACAAAAAAAAAAAAAAAAAAAAAAAAAAAAAAAAAAAAAAAATAAAAACAACAAAAAAAAAACCATGGGTTTTTGCACCTCGACCACGCCGATCCCCGCAGAGGGTCGCGCGGGAACGTTAGAAATCGCAAAAAACCATGAGTTTTTGCACCTCGACCACGCCGATCCCCGCAGAGGGTCGCGCGAGCATGTTAGAAATCGCAAAAAAAACCTTGGGTTTTTGCACCTCGACCACGCCGATCCCCGCAGAGGGTCGCGCGAGCAGAGCAGAAATCGCAAAAAACCATGGGTTTTTGCACCTCGACCACGCCGATCCCCGCAGATGGTCGCGCGAGCAGCGCAGACATCGCAAAAAAAACCATGGGTTTTTGCACCTCGACCACGCCGATCCCCGCAGAGGGTCGCGCGAGCAGGTTAAACATCGCAAAAAACCTCGAGTTCTTGCACCTCGACCACGCCGATCCCCGCAGAGGGTCGATTTTCGTGTAGTGTCGTCGGCACTACCCCGCCGCCCAAAGAAGAGATTTTAACTCCTCGCAAGTCAATTGCACTTGACTCCTTGCACTTGCAACTTGCACTCGACTCCTTACACTTGCAACTTGCACTTGACTCCATGCACTTGCAACTTGCACTTGACTCCATGCACTTGCAACTTGCACCTGACTCCTTGCACTTGCAACTTGCACTTGACTCCTTGCACTTGCAACTTGCACTTGACTCCATGCGCAGCTCGCAAATGACTCCTGCAATGACTCCTTGCAATGACTTCTTGCAATGACTCCTTGCAATGACTCCTTGCAATGACTCCTTGCAATGACTCCTTGCAATGACTCCTTGCAATGACTCCTTGCAATGACTCCTTGCAATGACTCCTTGCAATGACTCCTTGCAATGACTCCTTGCAATGACTCCTTGCAATGACTCCTTGCAATGACTCCTTGCAATGACTCCTTGCAATGACTCCTTGACTCCAATGACTCCTTGCAATGACTCCTTGCAATGACTCCTTGCAATGACTCCTTGCAATGACTCCTTGCAATGACTCCTTGCAATGACTCCTTGCAATGACTCCTTGCATTGACTTTCATGATGATGATTCCTTGCAATGACACCTTGTAATGACTCTCATGAGAACGACTCAAGTGAACCCAGCGGAAGAACCCTTCGCCATGCTTTCGGGAAAAAGAGGATACAAAAGAGGAATCCCCAAGTGGAAGGGACCTTCGTGGGGTGAATCGCTCGTTTCACACTCGAACCGCTCCAAGTTGCCGCAATGTATTGCATTCTGCACATGGCCCCTGAAAGGATACATGTGGGCCAGTCACAAAAGTTACCTGTACCAGCTGTAGATCATCCCCGTGTCCAAAAGAGGAGGGTGGTCTCCTTGGGGTGTCCTCGAAATTCCGGTGGTCAACTGGAGCCACGGACCTTCTAGCCCTGTTTAGCTGGCAACCCTGAAGGATTCCAACTATGTCCTGTTGTTTTAGACATCACCTATCCCCACCCCTGAAATTGAATAGTGGGGTGGGACAATTTGCTGCCTGCTTGTATTGCCTGCTGGTAGTCCCTTGCCTTGACCAGAATACGAGGTTGCCAATGTAAGGGTGAGTTTGCTTTGTTGGCCCAAATCCCAGATCTCAGCCACTTCTGGCAACCAACATTATTTTCCGTGGTTGTTCAAGGGATCACTGGGGTGACATTCCTTGCTGGTGCTCAGAAGGGAATGTGGGAATGCCCTTAATGGAAACCACAAGGAATGGTTTATAAGGGTCATTCCTCCCTGCCCCAGCAAGCTTCAAAGGGAAAGCGGGTGTGGGTCCAAATTCAACCACCAGGATATGGACCGCAGGTTTTAGTCCTGGGTTCCATTTACCAGGGCAAGCCATTTTGGGTACCCATTTCTTCCCCAGAATTAGTTCCCCCTTTTTTTTGCTTCTTTGGGGTTCCTTTTGTTTTCCACTACCGGGCAAAAAAGATATATATTTTTGGCTGGGGTCCTAATTCCAGCCAATTTTTTTGACCCACAGTCAAATGTTGAGAACCATGTTATGTTGGATCGCCAGGCCTCGATCGTGCAGAAGATCACCTCGGTGCATGGCAATGTCATGGCAGTGGGCGACGATGCCCAGAGCATCTACGCCTTTCGAGGCCTTAACCTGCCCAAAAAGAAAGCATGGGAGGGCAACAAAAATGTTTTTTCCTGTGAACCCCGCCTTTGTCCTTTTGCTTGGGGCGGTTTCTTCCATTTCGCTTGGGTGACTAGTTTTTTTGTTTGGGTGGATGTGCATTCAAGCTCGACAGAAACAACACGTGTGCGGTTTTTGCATTCATGTGAAATGGCCAGGATGTGTGCAGTGCTTGCTTGCGCCCCATACAAAGCTTTGTAACGATCCTGGAGAAGATAGAAACTTTTTTTGGGAAAGTCAGGGCGTGCAAAGCCGGAGCGCCGCGGCAAGATAGAAACCCTTCCGCAATAAGATAGAAACTTGTTTTGGAGAAGTCGGGCAGACTTGCAAAGCGACGTGCTCCGAATAGGAAAGTAGTATTCGAGATTCAATTTTTAGTATGGGGCATAGTACTGGCAATGCCACATCTAGCGCTGGCAATACTGAATCAAGTACTGGGAATGGTAAATTTATTACTGGTAATGTACTACATTTAGTACAGGCAATGCCACAGTTAGTACTAGCAATGCAGTACCTAATTGCCAGTACCTAATTGTGTGTCCCCTTAGTGTTGCAAGCACTAAATTTAGTACTACCAGCACTGAATCCAGTATTGAGTCGCAAATGTGGTAGTATTATAATAAAATTGGTATTGTCAGTACTAAAAATACTTTAAATTTGTATTGCCGGCACTTCATTTTGTATGGCAAATGCACCATTTAGTGCTAGGTGTAGCCTTCCGTACATATTATGATCCATTCGGCCATGAGGTGTTGCAAGAGTTTCTATCTTGCTGCAGACCCTGTAAAATACAGGGTTTGCAACAAGATAGAAACTTTTGACTGGGCGTTCAATCAAAACGGCAATGTCAGTATTCAGTTTAGCATTGCCAAATGCCACATTTTGAACTTAGTCTTGCTAGTGCTTATGCAATTTAGTATTGCCAGTAGTAAATTTAGTACTGCCAATTTGCAATTTGGAATTGCAGTGCTTAATTTTAGTTTTGCCAGTACTAAATGTAGTATTGCCAGTACTAAATGTAGTATTGCCAGTACTGAATGTAGTATATATTGCCAGTACGATTTTTTGGCGAGGAATTGAATTGGTTAAACTCCTTACTAAAAAAATGCATTTTGACATGATTTTGGGCTTCTAGAAGGGGGGGTAGCTCTGCAAGTCCACAATCACCCCCTCAGTAGATGTCTGGGTCCCGCACAAGAGTAGAACAGTTTCGGACAGAGTGTCGTTTGCAGTTCCAGGGAAGGATCCAAAAAGTTTCTATCTTTGTGCAAGCCCTGTGTTTTTCAGGCCTTGCGGAAAGATAGAAACTTTTGCTACGGCCCATGGCCCAGAAAAGTCAAAGTGCTTGAAAGTACCAAATTGAGGATTGCCAGTACTAAATTTAGTATTGCCAGTACTAAATTTAATATTGCCAGTACCTAATTGTGTGTCCCCTTAGTGTTGCAAGTACTAAATTTCCTACTACCAGCACTGAATCCAGTATTGAGTCGCAAATGTGGTAGTATTATAATAAAATTGGTATTGTCAGTACTAAAAATACTTTAAATTTGTATTGCCGGCACTTCATTTTGTATGGCAAATGCACCATTTAGTGCTAGGTTTAGCCTTCCGTACATATTATGATCCATTCGGCCATGAGGTGTTGCAAGAGTTTCTATCTTGCTGCAGACCCTGTAAAATACAGGGTTTGCAACAAGATAGAAACTTTTGACTGGGCGTTCAATCCAAACGGCAATGTCAGTATTCAGTTTAGCATTGCCAAATGCCACATTTTGAACTTAGTCTTGCTAGTGCTTATGCAATTTAGTATTGCCAGTAGTAAATTTAGTACTGCCAATTGCAATTTGGAATTGCCAGTGCTTAATTTTAGTTTTGCCAGTTCTAAATGTAGTATTGCCAGTACTAAATTTAGTATTGCCAGTACTGAATGTAGTATATATTGCCAGTACGTTTTTTTGGCGAGGAATTGAATTGGTTAAACTCCTTACTAAAAAATGCATTTTGACATGATTTTGGGCTTCTAGAAGGGGGGGTAGCTCTGCAAGTCCACAATCACCCCCTCAATCAGACGTTTTGTTTTTTTTTTTATTGGTTTGGGATTATTTTTTTTTTTTGATATTGTTTTAGTATCGGGTCCCGCACAAGAGTAGAACAGTTTCGGACAGAGTGTCGTTTGCAGTTCCAGGGAAGGATCCAAAAAGTTTCTATCTTTGTGCAAGCCCTGTGTTTTTCAGGCCTTGCGGAAAGATAGACACTTTTGCTACGGCCCATGGCCCAGAAAAGTCAAAGTGCTTGAAAGTACCAAAAATTGAGGATTTGCCACGTACTTATTGCCTGTACCTAATTGTGTGTCACCTTAGTGTTGCAAGTACTAAATTTCCTACTACCAGCACTGAATCCAGTATTGAGTCGCAAATGTGGTAGTACATAATAAAATTGGTATTGTCAGTACTAAAAATACTTTAAACTTGTATTGCCGGCACTTCATTTTGTATGGCAAATGCACCATTTAGTGCTAGGTTTAGCCTTCCGCACATATTATGATCCATTCGACCATGAGGTGTTGCAAGAGTTTCTATCTTGCTGCAGACCCTGTATTTTGTAAAATACAGGGTTTGCAACAAGATAGAAACTTTTGACTGGGCGTTCAATCAAAACGGCAATGTCAGTATTCAGTTTAGCATTGCCAAATGCCACATTTTGAACTTAGTCTTGCTAGTGCTTATGCAATTTAGTATTGCCAGTAGTAAATTTAGTACTGCCAATTTGCAATTTGGAATTGCCAGTGCTTAATTTTAGTTTTGCCAGTACTAAATGTAGTATTGCCAGTACTAAATGTAGTATTGCCAGTACTGAATGTAGAATGTAGTATATTGCCAGTACGATTTTTTGGCGAGGAATTGAATTGGTTAAACTCCTTACTAAAAAATGCATTTTGACATGATTTTGGGCTTCTAGAAGGGGGGGTAGCTCTGCAAGTCCACAATCACCCCCTCAGTAGACGTCTGGGTCCCGCACAAGAGTAGAACAGTTTCGGACAGAGTGTCGTTTGCAGTTCCAGGGAAGGATCCAAAAAGTTTCTATCTTTGTGCAAGCCCTGTGTTTTTCAGGCCTTGCGGAAAGATAGAAACTTTTGCTACGGCCCATGGCCCAGAAAAGTCAAAGTGCTTGAAAGTACCAGATTGAGGATTGCCAGTACTAAATTTAGTATTGCCAGTACTAAATTTAATATTGCCAGTACCTAATTGTGTGTCCCCTTAGTGTTGCAAGTACTAAATTTAGTACTACCAGCACTGAATCCAGTATTGAGTCGCAAATGTGGTAGTATTATAATAAAATTGGTATTGTCAGTACTAAAAATACTTTAAATTTGTATTGCCGGCACTTCATTTTGTATGGCAAATGCACCATTTAGTGCTAGGTTTAGCCTTCCGTACATATTATGATCCATTCGGCCATGAGGTGTTGCAAGAGTTTCTATCTTGCTGCAGACCCTGTAAAATACAGGGTTTGCAACAAGATAGAAACTTTTGACTGGGCGTTCAATCAAAACGGCAATGTCAGTATTCAGTTTAGCATTGCCAAATGCCACATTTTGAACTTAGTCTTGCTAGTGCTTATGCAATTTAGTATTGCCAGTAGTAAATTTAGTACTGCCAATTTGCAATTTGGAATTGCCAGTGCTTAATTTTAGTTTTGCCAGTACTAAATGTAGTATTGCCAGTACTAAATGTAGTATTGCCAGTACTGAATGTAGTATATATTGCCAGTACGATTTTTTGGCGAGGAATTGAATTGGTTAAACTCCTTACTAAAAAATGCATTTTGACATGATTTTGGGCTTCTAGAAGGGGGGGTAGCTCTGCAAGTCCACAATCACCCCCTCAGTAGACGTTTGGGTCCCGCACAAGAGTAGAACAGTTTCGGACAGAGTGTCGTTTGCAGTTCCAGGGAAGGATCCAAAAAGTTTCTATCTTTGTGCAAGCCCTGTGTTTTTCAGGCCTTGCGGAAAGATAGAAACTTTTGCTACGGCCCATGGCCCAGAAAAGTCAAAGTGCTTGAAAGTACCAAATTGAGGATTGCCAGTACTAAATTTAGTATTGCCAGTACTAAATTTAATATTGCCAGTACCTAATTGTGTGTCCCCTTAGTGTTGCAAGTACTAAATTTAGTACTACCAGCACTGAATCCAGTATTGAGTCGCAAATGTGGTAGTATATAATAAAATTGGTATTGTCAGTACTAAAAATACTTTAAATTTGTATTGCCGGCACTTCATTTTGTATGGCAAATGCACCATTTAGTGCTAGGTTTAGCCTTCCGTACATATTATGATCCATTCGGCCATGAGGTGTTGCAAGAGTTTCTATCTTGCTGCAGACCCTCAGGGTTTGCAACCTTTTGACTGGGCGTTCAATCAAAACGGCAATGTCAGTATTCAGTAATTGCCACTTTTGACTGGGCGTTCAATCAAAACGGCAATGTCAGTATTCAGTTTAGCATTGCCAAATGCAACATTTTGAACTTAGTCTTGCTAGTGCTTATGCAATTTAGTATTGCCAGTAGTAAATTTAGTACTGCCAATTTGCAATTGGAATTGCCAGTGCTTAATTTTAGTTTTGCCAGTACTAAATGTAGTATTGCCTGTACTAAATGTAGTATTGCCAGTACTTAGTTTTATTTGCCAGTATACTGTTCTGACATTTCCGGATGTTACTTGCGAATGCAAAATGAACCCTTTGCAGGGTTTCAGCAAGATAGAAACTCTGGCACCTGCGCGCGCTCCCAAAAAGCGGCGCCTCGAATACTACTCTCCTTCTTAGAGTGTTGTTTTTTGGGAGGCGCGCAAAGGTTTCTATCTTTGCGCGGCACAACCCTCCCAAATGCATCTTTGGGAGCGCGCGACGTTTCTATCTTCTCCAGGACCGTTATGCAAGGAAGGAACTGGGCCAATGTCAATGACGGACACTTTGCCATGATATGCGCCTCACCATGGTTGTGGAAGATCTGGTTGTAGGGCCACTATCTGTGATATGAGAGATATATATGCATGAGAAGCAGCTTTTTGCCAACACTGACAAGATATACATGAATCAGCCCTGATTCATTTTTTGCAGTTTAGAAATCCGATGTCCACATGTTTGGTGAAGTGTCCGCCGATGGAGAGCCTATTTTTGGACAACGATGTTTATATATATATATATATATCAGTATGTATGATATTGTTTCGAGGTAACCCTTGTTGTCGGTTTTCAAAGGAATACCGAGACACTCACCATTTTTTGAGGGGGGGGGGGGGGGCGCGGGCGGGGTTAAAACAAAAAACATACAGAGCCATGTATATCTCTACATATGTACACATACTTACACATGGGCTTTGCCTTGAAAGTTTTTCGAGAATTCCCGGAGCTTTGCCAAACTTGCCAGGTGCGGACATCAAGAACATCACGCACTTTGAGGAGATGTTCCCAGGCCCACGCGTCGAATTGATCAAATCAGCATGGGTATGAGTCGAAGGATTGCAAGAGGTGACTCGCCTTTGGACACCAAACAAAAAAGCAAACAAGAAAGCAAAGAAGCGAACCACCCTCACCCAAACGAACTGACGGCCTTTTTTGTTTTCCCTTGAAGCCGAGAAATATTTAACAGTTCGGATTAACACCCAATTGGCCTTGTTGAGCAAAAAGAGCACGGCAGTAAGCGGTGTCTTTTTAAAAGAGTACCCACTTTGGGTTGGTTTCAATCAGCAAGAAGGAGGACCACATTTTTGGGGTTCCTTGTTTTGAGACATAAGTGCCACAGTCAAGGAGTTAGCGCGTGGTTGCATCCTAGAAGGTTTCGTTCCTGGTTGTTTGGACACGCGTCGGCTGTTGGAAAGGAGCTTACTTCAAGGGCTGCATTAAATCATGAAGCTTGGTGTTTTTTCTAGGGGTTGATTCCCCATTCTTTTCAGCCATCGTTCTTTTCAAAAACCAGCCATTGTCCTAGGGTTTTTAGTGGTTTTCTCGAAAGAATATCTGGTGAAGTTACCCCTAGAGTTTTGCAGGTGTTTTGCAACCTGGTCTTACTGGTTTCCATAAGAATACCAAGTTGGAGTTAACCGTTTGACAACCTAGGAGGAACATCACAGCCAGCTTCTTCACTTTGACTGCCCAGTCGAACCTAACTCGAGGCCAACCTTCGATCGGGAATGCCCATGCCGTGCAAACGTCGCACTTTCCAAAGCACCGGGAATGATGAGACAATCATGCCATGCGAATCAATCTGACCCCCTCCAGGAGACATCCTTTGCAAGCCAACTGTTCACTGGCAGATTTCTGTCCAGGCCTTTGTTAGCGCATCCCGGCCACGTATGCAACAATTGCCCCACTGTCTCGATTTAGCTTACGGAAATGGCTCAGGCTTCCGGTGTCGCTTGGCCTCTGAGGCTTTTGAGTCGAGGCCCAATTGGAGTTTAACTGGGGCCACGGGTCAATAGACAAATCATCCCCCGGGCTGAGCGGAATGAAGCATGAGAAACATGCCACTTGCCAATTCCTCCAAAATTGGAAAGGACAGGCTTGTTCTATTGTTCTATTCCAGAGCCTTTATCGAGCTCGCAGACCATCATGTTCTATCATTGTTGGAATCTGACATTTCGAAGATGTTCAACATATTCCCAGCTTGCTCTGGTTTCATCATTCGTTTCACCGGCACGATCGCTCAATGGGTCAGATTAGAAACAACATTTGTACAATTGACTTTTGGTCACTTCCTGAGTTCGTGAACTTTAAACCTTTTTATCAAGACCTTTTTAGTGGCACACAGAAAGTTTAGACGTTTCTGGCCAATCTACTTGTTCGGAAGTGAGTTTGACCATGACTCGAATGAAAGGGCACCAAGCTCCTTTTCACGCCCCTTTCAAAGTGCCAAACATCCGAGACCGGGTGTTGGGCATGAACTGCTCGGGATTCCCTAGGAAACCATTGGATGCCACATCCATCGCTGGCCATGGGGAAGAAGAACGCAGAGAGGTATTCTTGGGCCAGAACATGTCAAAAAGTCCCCTTCTACAAACTCCGGTCGCCAGGTTGCAGAGTGCTGCACTTGGAAGACAACTACCGCAGCTCGCAGGCGCGGTTGTTTCATGGTTGTTATTGGGAAGCATTTTACATTTTGGCTTATTGTGGTTTAGTGGTTGAAATCCCGACTTAGCTGCTAAAATTCAATCTGTTGCTCCCCAAACCCAATGTCAACCAAGGTTTGGGAAATCGATTCCCGCGACTCAGAGACTCGAGGTTTGAGGTACGCCGGTCGCAGGTGACACTCGGCTTGCAGCCTTGAAGTCGAGTGGCCCAGGGGATTCCAGCCCTTCGACTTTTTGTTGGGAAGGGTTGGCCTTTGAAGTCAACCGAGCGAGAAGGATGCCCCTTTTTTTCCCATGGCCGCTGGGCATCTGAGGTTAAACTCCCAAGACGAAACAAAGCGTCTTCGAGTTGTCCCCAGGGCAGGTTCCGTGTTTGTTTAATTGGACTTTCCCATACCCTTGGGTAGCGTCCACTCAGAGAGAGCAGTCGAGGTTTGCCCTTTGCTTAGTAAAAATCCGCCCAGTGGACAGGAGGGTTGGTTGGAAACTACGTTGTATCCTCTTTCAAGGCTTGCAGCTCCACTATAGCGACGTGTGAGACAATGGCTATTTTCGGAAGAGTGCCTATAGGGTTGTAGCAGATGGGGTTGCAGTTGCATCGGTTTTTCAACAAATCATGGCCAAATGTATAATGTGGCTCTTGCTTCGCGCACTCTTGCTTGAGTCTGTGAGCTGGGGGGGCCTGATTGGAAGCCCTTGTGTGGATAAATGTGGTAACTACCCAGCAGGGGCTTGCGCGTATCAGCCCCCTTAGCCCCTTGTGAATGATGTCCAGCAAGGGCTTCTCACCAAAGCCCACACCCATCCATGCGACTGGCTCAAACGCTCAGTTGTGCTTACCGGCGGCGTCGGTAAGCGCAACCACAGAATAGACAGCGCGCCCAGGGGCTGAGTATGTGCTCCCGACGGCTTGGCTGTGCTTACGGACGCCGTCGGTAAGCGCAACTGCCTGCTCTTACATGAAACCCGTCATCCATGCTCCGGCCTCTTCGACAAATGGGCCCACGGTGTGTGCGGCAAAATGCCTGCGCTTTTGAAGCTCTGGTGTTAGCGCAGCCCAGGGGCACACACACACACAGAAGTGGGCAGGGCTGATTGGAGGGCAGGGCTGATTGGAGGGCAGGGCTTTGTGTTTTTGCAACTCGCCTACAACCCCATCCACTACAACCCTATAGGACCTTTTCCAATATTTCCACGCAGAATACGGTGGGTTTGCCGTGTTTGAAGGACTAAATTCAGCCGGACTCGCACAGAGGAGATCCTGGATCTCTCCAATGCCCTGCTCCAAAACTCCACGGAGTGTCACCGAGCCTTGGATTCAATCCGAAGCGAGAACGATGGGGAGGGTAAAATGAAAAGCTGGCTCTATGAATTTTCACGAGGAAACCCGCTCCCAAATGGTTGGTGGACACAACCAACCAAAATTCACGCCGTGCGGAGATCGAAAGGAACCCCCACCTATTCTGTCAGTTCCCTAAGACATCCATGTCAACGCTTGGAATTCCTCCGGGTCCGGAGTCCGAGTCCAGATTCCGGCTTGAATTCCCCGGACCTTAAGACCTTCTTGGGCCCCTCTCAAGGGCCACCATTTGGTTGCGTTTTGCTCCCAGGTCCCCGACGGATTCCATTGGTCAACTTGACACCTTTTTTGTTTTTTTTAACTTCCCCGTTGGACACATGGAGCAATTACTATGGTTTATCTTCGGGATTCCCCCATTTGGTTCTAGTAGGCACGTTCGCCAAGTGAATCCCTCCGTTTCCGAGCCCCTCGGAATTCTTGGAGTTCGAGAGAAATCCGCACCCGAGACCAAAATGGTTTTGGTTTAAGAAGGGAGACATGTATCTTCGCCATAGGTGATGTTTTGCTTGGGAAGCAGTCTACATAGATACCGAGTCTGCGAACAGAACATTGCCCTCTCTCCCCCCTTTTTTGGGGGCAGGGTTCACCTACTAAAATAGACTACAGAAACAATTCGGGTACCCTTATTCTAGCCTCTCTGGAGGACCTAGATTTGTTCCCAGGTCCCAGAATAAATTCCATGGGTCAACTTGTTGACGCAAAAAGAAAAGTACGTTATTTTTTTGTGGATTCCCCCTTGGACACATGGAACAATTCCAGTTGTTCAGGCCCTCGTTGGCGCCGTCTCTTTGAGGCAAGCATTTGGTGTCCCACTGCACTTCCGGGCCCGTGCCCACGCTGGCCAGATGCTACTCTCCGATCACCGAGGTGCGGGTTGGTCAGCGGGTGGGCCGGAGGTACTGTGGATGGACGAAATCCATTTTGCACCACCCAAGGAGCAATGAGGAGCCATTGGTCGTTGGAATTTACAGGGGAATCATCATTCCCAAGGTTTCTTAGGTGGTGCAGGATTTAGTCCATCCACAGTATGGTCCCGTATTCGACGAACAAAACTCGCCGAAGAAAGTGTGCAACGTGTTGAACTTTCAATGGTTCTTTCTCAAACTGCGAAACAAGTATCGACCCTTTTCAGGGCACCCCAAAGCCAAATCTTCCAAAAGTGCACTTTCTTAGCGGTTCAAAGTAAAGTGGTCAGGTGTCATTGGGTCAAAGGCAACCTTGTCAGAGCTGCCAAAACTCCAGCAGCCAAAATGGTGGGACTCGTGGGAATCGCAACCCGTGCCGAGTCCTTGTAAAGTCTTGTAAAGCTGGACAAGCTGCCCTTTTGGGAGGATTCTTTGCAGAGTGGGTGTGTCTTTGTTTGACAGTTCTTTTTTTTTGGTGGGGGGGGGGGGGGTTGGCTTCAAGCGACATGTAGAACAAGAACAAGAGAAGAACAACGCGTAGTTTTCCCCCTGAAACCAATGACGATTCGCATGCAAGTTACCAAGTGGTTTCAACCGTGGTTTCATTTCGTGGCGCGAGTTCCACGGATTTCGCGACAACGCCAACCTCCACACATCCGAAGCAGAGATCCCTTGAGGCGCGCAAGGTGGCAGAGCACTTGCGGGAGCTGCGCAAGACCGTACCGCTGCAGCACCACGGCGAGGGCGGGGCGAGCGCCAGGGACTAATACTTTTTATAACGAGGTCATGGGGTCTGTTAAACAAAAAAAAAACATGTTTGGTGATGATTATAAGAGCAATGTGTGATTTAGCCTCGTAAATATGCGTGGCTCCGAAATCACACATGATTCTTTGCCAAGCAGGATTTGGTTGTGCTTCAAAGTACCCCCAACCTCTAATTGTTCAGTCTATTTGCAACATTTCATGTGTCCTCTTTAGGCGAGTTGGTACGATGGGCTCCGGTTTCAAGTCTGGCTCACATGGGAGGGAGCCCTGATCCGTTCCCTCCGCCCGGCGAAAATTTGAACGGGAACGCATAGCCCGAAGAATGGGCTTTCTACTGCTACATGAGAAGCAACCAAACGGAAACCAGCGGAAAAGCAGTTGCTTTTTAACCGAACTGACAGGATGGATCTAAGAAACAAGCAGCATACCATATGGACGAAATCCATTTTGCACCACCCAAGACACAATGGAGGAGCCATTGTTTGTTGGTATTTACAGGGGAATCGAATCATTCCCAAGGTTTCTTAGGTGGTGCAGGATTTCGTCCATCCACAGTAGGCTTGAAATAGATTGCACTCACCAAGAATTTAGGACACCTACGAACTACTCACTTACCATAGATCCCTCAAGGATCTATGTCTTGTACCCCCGAGCCAGTGGACGCACTTTACACTTTCTTCCTTGGCTCTCCCTTTATTTTCGTGGTGGCCCAAAAAGTGTACACTTTGTTTGGGCTGGTCACTGGCCAAGTGAGTACCGCATCTTACATAGGCGTCCTTTTTAGGTTAGTGTATCTAGAAGCTGATGGCACCGGTTATGATTGGTTTCATTCCATTTACCAGGGAAACCCATCCATTTTGCCAAAAGGACAGCTATGGCTATCTTATCTAAGCTGACCAGGACCACATTCGGGCCACATTCGGATCACCCGCTTCCGAGACACCGAGGGAGGTGGCGGTGCTGTACCGTGCCAACAAGTCCTCGCTGCTGCTGGAGGCGGAGCTGCTGCGGCTCCAGGTTCCCTTCCTCAAGGCGCGGAAGTGGCCACAGACCCTGTGGTGGCCGTTTCCCGGGTCTTGTGGGCGAGGTTTTCCAGTGCCCTTGTACCAACGGTTTTTTTGTGGGGAGGGTTCTATTTTCCTAGTTTTCTGAGTGAATTAGAACAACCTCACACGACCGAATTCACCCCAAATGGTGGTTTATGTGGAAATAGCTCCCAACCACCGCAAGTTTCAGGTTGGTGAATTATTATAATTCACCCAGATAGTCTGTGGTGGCTCTTCCGGTTTTATGGGTGTATTGTCTTTGTTAACGTAGGGACGCCCAAAATGGTGGGTTTTCTTGTAAAACCGACCAACAAGGGGGCTTCACCATAGTAAGGATTGTATAAAACGCTATACCCAGCTTAGAGCCAAAAGTCAGCTCGGGTAAACAGGTCGCTGCTGGAATGTGTTTTTGGGTCACCTTCAACCACTTTCTGGTGGCATGTTTTAAGTTGTTCATTCACTAGCTTGGAGTCGCACGTTTCCGTTGTCAGTCTTTTGGTCCGTCGTTCAGTCACTCCGCTGATATGTCTCGTGTTCAGAGATCAACTTAGATGGTTTGGCAGTTGGCTAAATGGGTAACCCTTGCCTTTGGGGACTTTCCAATCGTAGCCAGGGTGACGAACCTTGGTGGCTCCCAGCCATCAGGTTCCTCAGCCTTTTAGTTTTAGTGTTTAGTGGTAGTTTCCGAATTTAACCCACTAAAAGTTGTGCACTTTTAGCGGGGGATCTGAAGGCAGCCTAGGGAACGATTTTGCTAATCGAACCACCGACTCGCCGACCGTCATCCGTCGGCCGAGAAATCAGCCGAAGAGGTGGGCGCTTTGAAGCTGCTCAAGCGCAGCCATGTGCCTTGGGAACGGGGGGGTGGGGAATGCAACAGATCTAGGGGTTGATTCATTTTCCATTTTTTTTGCTGGTGTAGACTTAGGATACATCTTACATGTTACCAGTGGCTCAAAGTGAAGCAAACGATAAGATATACATTCTAGAACTTGGCCTAACTATAATCATGGTTCAACCATTGTTCTTTTCAAACACTGGCTGTTCCTCCGGGTGTTTGATGATTTCCTGAAAAGAAGGATCCCTGGAAAGAATGGGGAAGGCACCCCTAGAACAGAGCGCCCCTGCAAAAGGCATCCCCTCTTAGACACAAACGGCATGTGTTTGTCTTGTGTTCCTCACTTGTTTCAAGAGAGTATGTTTTTCTGTGTCGGTTCAGGTTCTCAGAGTACAGAGTTTGATCTGCTGGGCAACTTATATCAAGATACGGGTTTGTCTAAGAAGATAACTTTGGACAACATCTTGTCAATCGCGTCATTGATAAAATGGGGTAAGGGATGAACCACTGACCTCTGCAAGATGTACGCCATTGTTGTTCTCCGCCATGGTCCAAGACTGTTGCCTCACAGGTTTCCAAATACCCACCTTTTAACAATCGCTTGGAAATCACCCTGAAACCATCTTTGGTATACCAACCATCTTGAAAGCCGGAAAGTGGCGAACCTTTAAAACACATTCAAGGAACATGCCAGCAAGCAAGCAAGCAAGCAAGCAAGCAAGCAAGCAAGCAAGCAAGCAAGCAAGCAAGCAAGCAAGCAAGCAAGCAAGCAAGAGAAACAAACAAACAAACAAACAAACAAACAAACAAACAAACAAACAAACAAACAAACAAACAAACAAACAAACAAACAAACAAACAAACAAACAAACAAACAAACAAACAAACAAACAAACAAACAAACAAACAAACAAACAAACAAACAAACAAACAAACAAACAAACAAACAAACAAACAAACAAACAAACAAACAAACAAACAAACAAACAAACAAACAAACAAACAAACAAACAAACAAACAAACAAACAAACAAACAAACAAACAAAAACAAACAAACAAACAAACAAACAAACAAACAAACAAACAAAAACAAACAAACAAACAAACAAACAAACAAACAAAAACAAACAAACAAACAAACAAACAAACAAACAAACAAACAAACAAACAAACAAACAAACAAACAAACAAACAAACAAACAAACAAACAAACAAACAAACAAACAAACAAACAAACAAACAAACAAACAAACAAACAAACCAACAAACAAACAAACAAACAAACAAACAAGCAAACAAACAAACAAACAAACAAACAAACAAACAAACAAACAAACAAACAAACAAACAAACAAACAACACACCGCTTGCTCTATGTGATTTCATTGTAAACGTTTCGCGCTGGCCTCGGCCAGTGTCAGCCGGATTCTTTTGGTTGGCAACTGTGGGGCTGGCCGCGGAGAATCGGAAGCCACGCGTAGCCTCCTTGGGGCCAGAGCCTGGCGCGCCTTGGGGGGCCAGAGCCGGGGGGCCAGTGGGCTCGAAGGCTTGAAGGCCAAAGCAATGGTGTGACAGCTTCCCAGAAGGCCTGACCACTTCCCATCTGGAGCAAACAGACCCCAAAAAGGCATAAACGCAACTTGGAACCCCGCCGCCCCCGAGGAAAAAACAAGACGTATACTGGGCATTGGCTTTTGCGAGGTGAAGGACCTCTTGGGGATCCTCACCATCGCCTTTCACCCCACCCACACCGTCGCCTGGATGCGAGTCCTCCAGTTGATCCCTGGCGTGGGCAACGCCACCGCCACGCAGATTTGTGCCTCGACTCGAGCCGATTGAGGCAACGGAGGTTTAGCTTGATTGACTTAGTGGTTGACTTACTGGTTGCTTGTTTGTTTCTTTCGTTGGTTGGTGGATTGCTTGATTAGTTGATTTGGGGGACATGAGCCGGGACCAAATTTCGACCCCGGATGTCTGGCTGCCTGGCTGATGAATAGGAGGTGTCCAGGGGTCATTTGGGAGAGAGCCCTTGTCAAGGAAGCAACCTCCCATCAATCTGTAAGGTTGATTCCGGTGTCAACGTTCCTAGTTTCCTTCCGATAGAAAACCAGGCCTACCCAAATGAAGCATTCATTGTCCCTTACTACTCTGCATTTGACGTTTGGAATTGAAGGCGCCGTTGCCTTTTGGCCTTTTTGCATGTTGTGCGTGAGCATGTTATGTCGATAGTGTTTAGTGTTCTCATGATTCTTATCTGTTTTATTGAGGTTGTTTTGCATGTGGGGGTGTTTTTTTTCAGGGCAGCCTTTGAGTAGCCCATACTCCTGCTTACCGACAAGAAACCGCAAGATACGCAGTCTCTTCCAAAGGCATCAATGTTCGCTGGCTTTTGGAGATCCTGACTCGGTATGGCTGGATGGGTCGTCGTCACGTCGCCACCTCCTCGCAAGGGTGTGCCAGGTTTGACTCTGCCTCGTTCAAGGGGGCGGGGGGAATGTTAGTGTCATGTTTGTCGTTTGTTTGCTCAAATGCTCGTCCGAGAATTTGAGTCTTGCCCTGGGTCCAGTCCTGTTGCTGCACTTTGCCCGTGTCTCGCACTTGTTTCGCCATCATCCAGCCCTCGCTCTGTTTTTGCCACTTGCTCTGGCTATCCCGATTCGCTGATTCGATGTGGCGGCGCAGTCCCGCGATCCCTTCTCAAGCTTTGCTACTGTGGATGGGCGAAATCCTGCACAGATGCAGGCCAAGAACTGTTTGTAAGCATTTCACAACAGTTGGGTCCAACTCTACGTCCTGTCTATCTCCAAATCTATGTCGGAATTGTTGGGTCCAAAGATCTTAGTCTTGCCACCAGAACGTGCGTATCGATTTCTCCAGCCGTCAGGCAACCCTTAGCCGTTGGTTTGAGCAGTTGAACGTTTGGATCTAAGGGGTAAACATGTATTGTTTCCCCCTTCTATTCCCGGAAAACAGGGGGGAACGGAAGGGGCCCGGGGGTGGCGGGGGAAACTTTGGGTCAACCCCACTTGCCCAGAACCCAACACCCCAACATTTCAACCCCTCCCCGGGCCGAAGAACGAGGCCAGGACCTGGCTGCGAGCTGCGCCGCGGACGCGCTGCAGCTCTGGGGCTCCTTGCGCCGGGCCTTTGCGCCGGAGCTCCAAGAGCTGGCGGAGCTGGTGGCGCGTCTCCAGGCGCTGGGGGGGGTGGGGGGTGGGGGTAGGGGGGTGGGGGGAGGGGATGGTGATAGGGTGGGGGTGGGGCAGGGGGGATGGTGGGGGTGGGTAGGTGGGGGGGGGGGTTGGGTGGCACTGTTTGAGTATTACAGGGCAAACCAAACAAAGAGTGTCAAACCGATAGGGGAGAAGGGATGGGGGAAATGTGGCTTTGGAGCTCACGTTGGAACAGGTTGTAGCCAAAACCAAGAAGTTTGTGCCAACCAGGCTTTCATATTTAGGGAACAGGTTGCTTCAGCCAACAGGTTGTTTAATTAAGCGGTTGCTTCAGATGTTTCGAGGGATCCAGCTTGTTTTAACAGAGCAGGGCTGAGCAACCGACAGTATCAGTAGCTTACTGTTGTGCAGAGGATGTCTCTTCTTGTTTTAGTTTGCTGGGGGAGTCAGAGTCGCCTTGGGTTACCCTTTGTTGTGTTGTTTCTGTTTTTGCTTCTTAAACATCTCGGTTTCTGGACTTGAAGCATTTTGTTGGGATCGCCTTCAGGACTTACTTGTGGACTGGGGCCTGCATGCGTGCCTTGGGAAAAGGGAAAACCTTTGAAGTGCCCTTGATTTGAGACACACCTCTATGAAAGTGCTGTTTGTTTCAGCTCCCTCTTTTTTGGGGAGGGGAGAGGAGCACCTGAAGGATCATCGCCATTTTACGGGTCCTAACACCGGTCTTTGGCCAGGAGGAGACGTCCACAGTGAAGGCCGTGGAAGCTGCTTACGGCTGGTATATGAGACACGGCTCAGAGGAACCCCCCAACTCATTGATTTTGGGGTGGAGCGCTTTCAACCGCGAACTTGTTTTAGCGAATGGTTTCCTTTATGACCGGTTTAAATGGCTGTTTTCCCAAGCGTTTGCAACAGAAGGGGTGCGCACAGAGATGTAGTTTTACAGCGCCAATGCTTGCAAAGCACTGCAAATACCCGCTCTCTTTGGCAAATGGTTAGTTTCCCTTTACCGCTAGATGGTTGCCGCAAAAGGTGAGTTTTCCTTGTGACCGGCTTAAATGGTTGTTTTAAACAAATGGACATTCCCGCGAAAAAGCACAGAAGTTAAACTTTTTGCTTGAAACGCCCACCCCTTGCCCCTTTGTTTGGGATGGGTCAGGTTCCCCGTTGAAGTGTCGATAAACGCTCTTTGTAAGGCTCTGTCCAAGTACCCCCTGCAGATCAACATGAAAGCCAGCAGGGGGGTGCCCCCAAAGGAAATCTCTCTATGATCTAAGAAAGTGAGGGTGTTCCTTTGTTTTCCGGGTTCAATGTCAATCTGGGGAGTAAGGAGATATTTTCTCCACAAGTACCAGGACGAGAATGCAGAGGAGCGACTCTTGGCAGCCTTAGTATGCAAAAGTTAAAAGGTTTTATATCAGCAACGGACACATTTGTCTGCAGTCTATTGTTGTATTTGGGGAACTTTCCATTTGGCTAAAACCATGACACAGTTTCGATTGGTACCTTCCAACCATTCTTTCCAGGGATCCGAATCTTTTCAGGAAACCATCAAAAGCCCAGCCCACCCAATTTGTCAATGTCCTCTTGGGCCCACTGATGGGTACCTGCCATTCGAGGTGAGGAAGACTTGAGCCTGCTGCTCTCGGTGGCTGAGTCCTACGAATCTGTGACTGAGATGCTGTCATCATTGGCCCTTGACGATGATGTCGCGGACACAGACTCGATGCTCGGTTAGGTGCTGTAAACTAGATTGAGTCATCATCATAGGAGAACCACCCGTGTACCTCTTTCCCGGGCCCCTTGTATGTCATGCTGAATGCAAGTGGTCAATACAAAATCCACAATAGACAATCACACGAGATGTGGTTCCGATTCCTTGCGTAGACGCTGTGCAGCCAGATGCGGATCCGGTTTCAATGGCGGATTTCAGGTTATCTGCATTGAAACCCACAAGTTCTTTGACCATGTGACGCGCTCGCAAGCTGCTGGAGCTTTGGCGTACCATGGTTTGCCTCCTTTCAACATTTACGTGTGGATCGACATTTTGCAAAACATGCGCAGATATCCCACCTTGAAAAGGCATGTGCACACTGAATCTATTGGCGCGTCTAGAGGACTACCTCAGGGTGACCCCCTTGTGATGATTACTGCGGCTCTCGTCCTTGCAAAATGGCTTGAAAGCATGGACCCGTCTCTGCAAGTCTTGTGTTTGTCAACGACAGGATCATCCACAAAGTGAACATGTCACCCTGCAGAGCTCTCGTGTTTGGACTGGGGCTTGGGACTCTCGAAGAGGGTTCAACTCAGCGCAAGGCGTAAACACCCTCTGATTCTACAGGCGGCTTTTTGAGAGACGTTGTACACCAGGAGAGCCTGGATTGTTACCGTTCAGCACCCCCAACACTGGGGCCGAGCTTTTGCAGTCTTCTTTTTGCAGAAGAGCGTACCAGGAATGTCTCGCGCTTGTTTATCCGATCTTCAGCAATGCCCGTGCTAGAGGTTACAAAGCAGCAGCATTGTTTGCTGACATACATAAAGGCAGCTTTCTATAGCCTTGCACGTCAAAGTGCTCTAGGCTTGGAGCAAGGTGACGCTTCCTTGGACAAGCTTGTGAGTCATTCAGGCTGTCGTCCCAAGGCTCTCTCTACTTGCGTGACGCATGCAAACCAGCCAACGGCAGTTGCGTGGCTGCACCCGTTGCACTTGGTTTGCATGCCTCGCCACTGGACAGGTTGCGTATGCTAGGACTGGAAGTCGTCCGGGCCAACGCCTGGCGGACTGTGGAATCTGCTTGCCTTTGTTGCCATTTCCGACATAAAGAAGGAAATGCATCACGAAGGCTTTACAACCGCCAGTCACGTTGATGGGGGCCCCCAGCCGGCTGACCGATGACTTTTTGCAGCAGCTCGCGCAAGCCCTTTCACTCGTCAAACGGGTGTTCGCCAAGCGGCAGCTGTGGGTTAGCCAAGACTGCGGAAAGACGGAGGCATTTGTGCTGCTCGCGCGCCGCATGCGCCGCCAGAACTCTCTCCCCCTGCCTGTTGCCGTGCAATACCGACACTCGGAATCTCATTTCCCTGCAGACGGGTTTTGGACGCCACTAAAATTTCGAGGTTTTTCTTTGGCGCAGGAACATGGGGCGCCCTTACACCAGGCGTTCGGACTTCTCTGGTAAAGTTCTTCCACCGTGCAGCGCGTGTTGCCGCCGGCCTCGTGCGCAAGACTGGCAGGCCTGACGTCAGCAATGATCTCGTTCTTGCCAAAGCCAGGGTGCCAGCGCTTGATGCGAGCTTCGTCTCCTTCGCCCGCAGCACCTAGCGCACAATGCGCCGGACTGCGCGCACTTTTTTGTAACTCCTGGCTTGACCTTGTCAGGGCCGACTTAGTTTGGGCCTGCAGGACCGCGAACCTTTGACTTGAAGCCAGAATTTCTTTGTCCTCACGCGTTTACCTTCGTGAAGCACGGCAAGCTAAGTGGCTGAAAGACGCGCGTGCTTCCGCCGTGGCAGGGCATTGCGTGCGTGTAGAGCTGCAGCGGCCTTCAAGCTTCGAGAACTTGCTCTTTCTTTGGGCGGGGGGTGCAAGTGCCACCTGATGTTGTGACGCCCACCCAAGCCTCCAAGCTTGACTGCCGCTGCCCGGATTGTGACAAAGCTTTTGCTAACAACGCTTCACTTGCGAATCACAGGTTGGCAGCGCATGGTAAAAAGTCGGATGCGCAGCTCTACTGCCAGACCAGTGCCTGCCCAGTGTGCTTGCTTGACTTCTTCCAGCACAAGCGCTTGCAAAGCCACCCGAGAGGGTCCCAGACAACCAAGTGCCTGGAGTGGGGGACATGCGTCGGGGAAGTTGGTTGGTGCCCTTTTCAGGTTGGTTTGAACGGAGATAGAGGATTTGGACGGGGTATGGAAGGGTTTCACTGCGGCTGGTTAGCCGCTCTGGGTTCGCGAGTATTCCTGTTGACCCGCCTATAGCAAACATTAATAAAGAGCAGAAAGAAGACAGAAGGGTGTAATAAACATGGGTGTGAGAGATGTTTGTACCAGTTGCTAGATATATTTGGATTGTAGCTCCTGTAAAAGAGGCTCTTGTATCACTTTCTAAACCTACAGTATACACATGATGTCCCCAAATAAGACTTCCAAGAAGAGAAATAGATGACATGGCAAGGGTCATTGATTGCTTTGCAAAGATTATTGGCTGTAAAGCCCCAGTTGAAATGATCCCAAATGCAGGAAGCATTTAGATGTAAGCCTCTGACTGGATGTCCAAAAACCCTAACCCAAATGTTGATAGAATATAGGATCTCCTCCAAATACTGGATCGGCAAGAAGTGTATTAGAATGAAGATCGCCCAACATCAAAAGAAGTGTGCCAGATAAGATAGGTAATGTGAAAAACATGAAAGCTGAAATCAAGAAAGGTACAGGAATGACGGGATAGCCTTTCATATAAGATAATAAGATCTCAGATTAAGAACTGTTGTCCAAAAGTTAAGAGATGTAAGACATGAAGATAGACCAGAGGTTAATAATCCTTATGTAAGGTTTCCTGTACTTGAAGGTGATAGAGTCATAAGAGAAGTGGATATTGGTGGATCGAATGCCCATCCTGTACCCCCTCCAAATTCTGAGATTAAAGAAAGAGGATTAGGAAAAGATATGAAGGTAAACGAATCCTGATAGAGCAAATATCCAAAAAGGGTTGAACCTGAAAAAATGCAGGCGGGTGGTGGAGATTTCCTCCAACCATGCAGGCTGAAAGGGTTTCGCCAAACTACTTCCTCTTGGGGCCTCCTCTTCCATAAAGTTGTTGGAAACAGGCAGCCGTTTGGAATATCGTTGTGAAGTCTAATTCAACCATCTCAAAATAGTGATGGGTGGACTCCCCACCTAAACGATATCCACCAAAAGGGCCCCCTATTAAGATTCACACCCAGTGAGTGTTTGGTAAGCAAATTCAGTCAACTACAAATCCGAGGGACGCGGTGACGTTGTCCACGATCCACAGCGCCAAGGGCCGCGAGTGGCGGGTGGTGTTCCTCATCGGCTGCCAACAGACGTTTAATGAGGAGCAACATAAGCGTGATCTGAATTGGGCTGCACCCAGATGGCAAAGCAAGCCCCTTTCGGCTGCAGCTGCTGCAAGCTGAAAGCTGCTGAAGACTCCTCTTGCCATTGCTGCGGTGGTTGCTGTTGCCGCTGCTGCAGTTGTGGTGGTGCTGCTGGCGCTGGTCGGGCTGCTGGTGCTGGTAGTGCTGGTGGTGCTGGTGGCTGCGGCGCTGGTGGTGATGGTTTTGTTCCTGTTCTTGTCGGTGTCCTGCTGTGGATGGTTGCGAAATCCATTTCGCACCACCGAAGAAACCCTGGAATAACTGGAATGATGACTTCCCTGTGAAACGAAACAAACCATGGTTTCAACCATGGTTTCATTTCGTGGTATCATTAGATTGGTTGGTGTTGCCATTCCGGGCGATTGGTTGGTGCAACTCTCTAGTTCTCCCATGCTGTCCACTCCTGGCATTTGGCCCGGAATCACAGCGTCAGGAGGACGAAGAGGAGCTGCGGGTTCTGCAGCTGGAAATCAGAAATTTCACGAGGGAGGGGGGGTGGGGGGTGGGGAGGGGGGGTGTGAGCCGCGGGCAGGTGGCCAAGTTCCCGTCGAAATGTTGGAGTGGGCCACTTGTTGAGGTTGGAAGAAAGGGAAGCCAAAAGGAAAACCATGATGTGGGTGCGTCCTGGTTTTGAGTCTTTGGATCATTTCAATTGCCCAACAGGAAACCACCCATCCTGGGGTGCACCCATTTCAAGACAAACCCATAATATATGGATTTGCCTTGGGTCTGGGATTGGTTTGGCCCAAAGTTCATCTCTGTTGATTTTCGAAGCCACGACCCAGACATCGAGTGGGGTGGGGTTTCTCCTCCAAGATAAGCTACCCAAGAAAGGTGCCCCTTGTTGCATGGTCGTCACTGCAGGTCTGGACAGATTCTCAATTTTTTGGCAATGTCACGAAAACAAGGATTCCCGGAACGAAGTACAACAAATACAGCTAGAACATTGGGCTGATTTTATGCAGCGGTGTTTGTGAAAATTATATTCTGATTCAGGAACTGAACGATCCCAAGATGAAATTGTACGTACACATGTTGCTGGCAATGTCAGGCCCAACAGAATAGATACCTAAGGTCAAAACCCACGAAGGATTGCTACTCTCCAAATGGTGCACGCCAGTCCGCACACGGGTGCCTTGCGCCAAGGTATGTGGGCCTCACCCGCGCTCGGCGCGAGCTCAACATCACCTGCCCAGGTTGGCAACATGTTGGGTCTAAAAAGGGCAGCAAGTTGAAGGGGCACCAATAGACCAAAAGCAGGATGTGGGTGTGACATGTTATACCGCCGAATGAGGCCTGTACTTGCCCTACTGGCTGGCGATGGTGCCTGGTCTCCAGCGCTATGTCACCGTCAATGATGCTTGACGCGACCGGCGAGAGGAACAGACCGCCTCGCAAGCGTCGAACGTGTTTTTTTGCTAGCGGGTGCACAGAGTGCACGTGCACGCTTGCTTGGGACGCTGCCATGCAGCGAGGGGGGGGTTTAAAGAATTGGGCGGAATCGATGGCACTTTTATCAGCCTGTTTGCCAACTGTGTACACAAACTGTAGACTTGTTTGAACGGAACCGCGGGCCCGATCCTGGGGAACGCATGTTTGCCTTGGAGCAAGCGCTGAGACGGGGGAAAAAGGGCCGAGGGCGAATCGTGACGCAAGTGCGTATCAAACTAGTGTGGATGGACGAAATCTTGCACCACCCAAGAAACAATGGAAAACCATTGTTTGTTGGTATTTACAGGGGAATCATCATTCCCAAGGTTTCTTAGGTGGTGCAGGATTTCGTCCATCCACAGTAGTACTTGATTTATAACCCACTTTTTGTTGAACGCCCAGGGTTTCGAAACCCTACATGCAGCTTAGTCCTGTTGGTTTTGAGCGGATTCGCAGTTGTACCTACAAACGAAAGAACATGCTGCCTATTATTTGGCGAGATCTGCGGGCAAAACAATCTCACCATGGAGTAGGTCATTTGCTTGAAACTCCATCATTCTTAGCTTAGGTTTGGGATTGTTCTTCCGAATTCGCAGAATATCCATTTCCCTTTCCCTTTTGGTTCTTTATAAGGGTTCCCTTGGTTGCCCGCAAAAACGTGGACTCACGTCATCCGCTTGGCCCAGCCCTTAGCCCAGGCCACATGAGCACCCCGGTGACCCGCGCTACTCCGGTGGGAAGTTTGCAGGCCGGCAAACCAGATCCAAACTTTGGTGCATTTTGCCAAGGGATGTTAAACACTTTAACTTTTTGCCAACAAATGGGTGTTCCATTAAACCACTAGAAGTTATTTTTTTAGCAGGAGAGCAGAAAGCAACTGAGCAAACTCCTGAAAAGGGGTCCTGAATGCGCTTTTTGCGGATTTCACCTGTTCTCCCCCCGCAGGTTCTTCTTTTAGTACTCGCTTAGTACTGTTTTAAAGTTCGACAGGGGTGGTTCCACCAAAGCCACATCCAAACCGTTTTCTAGACAAACAGTATATTTGGGGGTAGGTCACCAGAGATCGTCCTGGCTTTTCTATTGGGTTCCCTTGGTCATCTACTAGGGAAATTGGGGTTGATCAATGTTCAGTTCGGCCCCAAATTGACCATGGGTATCTTTTCCCATTTCGCGGGGAAATATACTCCTTTTCTTTGTGATTTGTTTGATGGTCATGTGCAGGACCTGTTGATAAAAAAAAGAAGAAACAACACCTCCATTTCCCTTTTCAGCCCGTTTACTGGACTTTAGTTACTTGGGTTGGGCCGTTTTTGGTGCGCGTTACGCAGTTTTTGCCTTGCGAATCCAAACCGCCCCTTGGGAAGGGATCGATCCGTCTCGCCCTTTGGGGATGTGAGCCGCCCGACTCTCCTAGCCTCCGAGCAACTCAACACGGTGGTGTTGTTCGAGTAGCACGTTTCAGGTCCTGCTGAGATAGACTCTGAGGTTGCAGGCAGCTTTCAGGGAGAGTCCAAAAGGAAGATTCCAGGGGGTTCCCTTTAAACCGTTGGGGATACCTGCTGGGCTGATTGCCTCGTTGGTTTTTCAAGCGAAATCAAAAGGAACACCGCATTATTTGGGGGACCCCTTAACAAAGACACCCCTTAGCTCCAGGGCAACCTGGCCTCTTGGGATATGAGCTGAGCTTCCTTTTTTGGGACCAAACCCCGAAAATATGACCAACCCACCCGAAACCTGGTCAACCGTGAGCGTCCAAAACCTCCGTGTACATGTTGGGTAAGAGTCCTGTCATGTCGACCAGCGCGTAAGGAAAAGCTCCACGCGCGTAAGGTGGCGTAAGCTGGTGGAGTAAGCGGAATGATACGAGATGGCAAATCATGACACGTTTAGGACATGGCTCATGTGGGAAACATGGGTGTGACGTCTTCGAAAATACCCGGTTTCGGGTTTTTGTTTGTGTTTGTTTGTGGGATATACACATATATACACACTCTATATATATACACTATGTGTGTATATATATATATATATTTTTTTTAATTGTGCCCATGGTTTTGGCGCTTTTTTCATTTAGGAAGCCAACGGCTGACTCCCAAAGTCGGAGGTGCCACCTGGCACGGGGCCGTCACCCTGGGCACCGGTCTGGCGCAGTGTGGGAGGCGAGAGGTGAGGGGCACCGTGGGAGGCGAAGGGTTGTCTAGAGGCTTAGAAATTTAGCTTAGAGGTTTAGAGGTGTAGACATGGTTGTTATTTGGTTGGGCATTTTTTGCATTTTTGATTTTTGTGGTTTAGAGGTCTAGAGGTCTAGAGGTGAGGTTTAGAGACTCTCCATGACCAAAATTAGAAACGGGAAAGGGTCCTTGCCCAAAAAAAACTCCCGGGGTTGATTTTGCCCCTTTCTAGGGGTCAGAAGGTTTAGATACTTGGCACCTTGGTCTAGAGGCTTGGAAGGTCTTGGTGATGTTTGGTTACCCCTGATGCATTGTTTTTTTTTTTCCTCGCGTGGTTTGGTGTTTTTTTTTTTATGCCCCCCCCCCCCCCGCCCTTATCCCTGGTTGTTGTTGGGAAGCATTTTACGTTTTTGCTTATTGTGGTGTATTGGTTGAAATCCAAAAACATGTCTCCCCTTCCAACGCAACCAAGGATAGAGAATGTGGGGATCCCAGAGTTGCATATTGGGGATGTGAGGCTCAGGATGGTTTTTTCAGTACCTGCAAAGTCCTGGTTTGATCTGGGGCTGAATGTGGGGAACCCAGAGGTCTGGGATCCCATGACCTTAATTTGGGCCTCCCTTTTTCCCTGACCCCACCACAGGAGGTTTCAGAGTAAACTGGTTTTGGGGGGGATCCCCTCGGATTTTTTTTGGGGGGTCATTAGAAGAATGCCCCCTGCTGGAATCCACATTTTCCTGATGGTAGGTGGTGCATGCATGTCTAATTCAACCTTGCCCCGGAATTCATGTTTGCTTGAACTTTCCTTTGAATCAGGTTTCCAGGGTTGACACTGAAAAGAAACATTCAGTTCGCCTTGGATGACTTGTACATTTTGGCTCAAGGCAAAACAGGTTGTGCGAGTGAAGCTTCCGGTGCCGCCATAGCACTTTTGGGCATACTCTTTACTTGACTTGTCTTGATTCGTATTTCGTCTGGTTATCAGCCGTAGCTTTTGAGCTGCGACCGATAGCTACGGCGGGTGAGGGCGTCGAGCATCCGGGAGTGGCACCGGAACTGTGGAACCTCTTCGGTTGGCATCGAGCCGGACGAAGAGGCAAGTCACAGAAACTTGGTGTACTACGTGACGGATTGGCCGAGGGGGTTTTATCAAACGAACCTCCGTTTGTGCTGGATAGCACCTGGGACAGGCTTGCACGTGCAAAAGTCAACTGGGAACAGCTACAGCTCTACGAACAGGCCTTTTGGAACGAGCAACAGCGTCTGACTGAGGAGCCCCAGAATCATCGGGTGTCTTTTCGGGTTGTGAAGGCAGCGGATCGGTCTGCTCCTCTTAGGCTTGTGCAGCGCGAGTCGCTCCGAGCCGAAGAGCCTGCATCGTCATCTGCGGAGCCTGTGCAGCACAGATTGCTCCAGGCGACCAGCAAAGCTGCGTCGAGGCCAGAGAGCACTTCACGTACGCCGAGGCGCGCTGAGCCTTCCGGGCATCACTTCGCTGCGGTGATTTGTGATTTGACTCTTGCCACAGGAGTATTCAAGTGTGTGAACAGCAATTGGGAAGATCAAGGATTGTCCTTTGTCTACGAGCCGCGCTACGGCATTGACTTTCGGGACAGTTGCGTGGTTGCAATCGACTATCACCAGGTTCTTGACAGAGCCCGTTGCGGACGCACAGAGTGGGATTACGAAGGTATTTGCCACGACAACCTCGAAGCGATTAGGCAGCTGAAAGCCGCTTTCTTTCGCGAAGGTATCCACGTTGTGACAATCTGCCTATCCTACCTCCATAGCCAAGAACGCCGAGACGCATTGGTTGCTGCGTTCAATCGCACTCCGGATATCTCATCAGTTTTTGACTTCATCGTTACAACTTCTGAGAGGGCCAGTTTCAATCCCAGGACCCAGAAAGGTGGGAAGGTGCTAGTCCTTCAGGATCTGCTGTCAGTTGGATTCCGCTCGGCATTCATCGTTGACGACAGTGACGAGGTCATCAACAGTATCATCGATCGCCAGGTACAGGACAAGATCTCGGGCATTCACATCAAGCTTCGCAGAAAGCCACCGGCCAACAATTTGTTTAGGCCAGTCGGATTTCTTGAGGATTGTGTGGCCCATTGGCCGGAGTGCGCCGCAAGGTGCAAGCAGGCATTGCGTCAGTAGCTTTTCCTGTCCGACCAATTTCAAGAAGCAATGGAGCCATCAGAAATAGTTCCAGCTGCTCAGGGATCTGTACAGATGTTTTCACCCCCGCAGGTCGCAGACTCCAGTAATGGTAATGAAGACACTAGCATGTCCACGGCATCATCCCAACCGATGGGTAGTAGGATCAACATGCAAAGTGCTCAGTTGCATCAGCATCATCATTTCTCACCAAATATTGAAATGCACGCTCAAGCTCATCACACCCAAGTGTACCAGCCGACCATGGTTGTTCAATCATTGGATCAACAACTGGTCGAAAGAGCTGAAGCGCATTTGAGAGAGAATGATAGGAGGTTGGTTGTCACTGAAGCCCAAGCTCAATGCTTAATGGCCGAGGCTAGGGATAGGGTAAATCAATTGGAAAGCCAATCCTTCAATCAAGTTCATGCCCTTCAGGAATCACTTGAAAGGACCAAGCATGAATCGGGGGACCAATTGAGACAAGCCCAGGAGCGAGTCCTTTATTTGGAATCACAAGCCAACGCACAGGTTCAGGCACTCCAAGATGCCTTGACGAGGACCCAGCATGGCACAAGTGACCAGATTAGGGAACACCAACTTAGGGAGGCCGAAGCAACGCAGAGGGCGCAACAGTTGGCAGACCGATTGCTAGCAATGGAGCAAAGGTTGAATTCTCTTGAGGCCGAAAATCAATCCTTAAAAAGGGAATTGGCATGCATCCATAATGGCGCGGATAATCAGCCACTGCAGGCGAGTGGGCATCCTGCTGTGATGCCTTCGGGCACCAGCCAGCCAGTGCAGGACGGGTCCGTGATGCCGCAGGGCACCGGAAACCCCCAACCGATAGCGCATGGCAACGGTTCACATCAGGCAAGCCCCGTGATGCCTCAGGGCACCGGAATCAGTGCACACAATGCTTCATCATGGGACTTATCAGGTGCTGTGAGAAACATTTTTGGGGATTCTTCTCCAGTTGCACCGAATCCGGGATTAAGTGCATTAGAAAGGCGTTTGGATCAACTCACATCAGCCTTTGAGCTATTTGCATCCCAGACTGCCGCCGCTCAAACTGTGCCGCAAATTCATCAGGCAGGAACAGGGCAGGTCCCTCAGATTTTCAACATAGGATCTGTGGGAGGGCAGTCGGGGGGTGGATCGCAAAATGGTTCACAGCATGGTTCTAATCCTGGGTCGCCAGATCACTCGGATAGCTCATCAAGCGAATCCAACAAGGGTGGAGGCGGCGGGAGACCAGGAGGTTCGCCAGGAGGCTCGCAAAGACCTCCTCAGGGCCCCTCAATTCCCCCTCAAGGAAATCAGGGAATGGCCCAAATTGACGCGGCAATCGATGCCTACTCAAGGGAAAAGAAACTCATGCGTGTGAAGGCATATGATGAGATGAAGTTGCCTCAGCTGCCCAAAACGGCGGCAGACGCTCGCCTGTTCAGGAACTCGGTTTTCAACCTTGTGTGTAGGCTTGCAAAGGGTGACGAATCCTTAATCCATAGCTGGATCGCCGAAAGCACTAACCCCAAAGCCGATCTCGAGTCGAGCCTTCCGTTTCCAATTCTTGATCGAGTGTTGGGTTCAAAGCTGCTTGAGCTGTCGAAGAACACCAAGTTTGCCATGCTTTTCCAATCCATTCAAGAGCAAGAGCAACGGGTCTTCAAGCAGCCAAAGGGGCGGAAGTTGTTGTGGGTCATCTTTGAGAGGTTTAAGATGGAGAAGGATAGGGGAATTGCCTTGACTCAAACCCATCTCTTAGGCCTCAAGATGAGCGGCACCGACATTAAGGCACTCGAAGATTTCCGTCAGAGATTCGACTTCGTGTACCAGGCCTTGGAAGTTTCCGAGAGACCGAGTGACCAAGCTATTAGGAGCACCCTTTTCGAGCAATTGAAAGGACATCCAAAAATGGCTTTGGTGATCGACCGTTTCAGGAACGCCAGTCCAAACAGCAGTAAAAGGACTTGGCCTTGGCTTTACGCGAAGCTCGGGGAAATCATCGAGATTCATCAGCTAGATGAAAATGTCGTGTCAATCGATCAGGTGTACACGCAATCCGCAACTAAGTCCCAAGCAGCGCCAGCCAAGACAAAGGAAGGGAAAGACAAGAACGACAAGAAGAAGGCAGAGAAGAAGGGGGAAGCCCAAAAGGAGCAACCTTCATCCAGCCAGAAGCCCAAAGACTCCAAAGATCCGAAGCCTAAAGAAGCGAATGCAGCACCCGCAAAGGGGAAAGGCAAGGGCGAGAGTAAGGGTGGCAAGGGTAAGAAGGGGGACACAACTCCTAAGGGCACTCCTAGGCTAACGGATGAAGAGAAGAAGAAGCAGCCTTGCATGTACTTTGGGTATAATGCTTGCACCAAAGGTGATAAGTGCTTCTATCTGCATGATTCTAACAATCTCTATAAGGGACCCAAGCCAAAAGGGCTTCAGACGTCATCGCCAGCAGGTGCAGCCTCCGTCAACGCAGGGGCAGCAAAGGTTTTCGCAGCCGCGTATGCCTTGAAAGGAACTGTTGCTGAAGCTAAGAAAGCAGCCAAGAAGTGCAAGAAGACCGCATTTTGCACTCCCGTGTTGTCGCAATGCATGAAAGCCGTGGCAACCATGATTGCGTGCCTTAGCCAGCCAGTGCAGCAAGAGTTTCTGCTGGACACAGGTGCCGGTAGGAACTTAATCTCAAGCAAGAGTTTGCCGCAATCCTTCAGGGAGCATGTGCACGAGGCAAATGAGCCGATCGAATTCTGCACCGGCGGTGGCATCAGGCCTAGTGCTGAAGTGGTGGATCTCTCAGGGGAATTGTCAGGAACAAACACGTTCTA